ATCAAGCCTTGAAGAAGCGCAAAGGACACTGCTTTCAAGTTCTAAAGAGGGCTGGGTGTTGGAATGAAGATCCTTATTTTTGCGTACAATCCCCTTACTTCGACACGTTTCCTGGTACAGAACCTCTTTACAGGTGGTGTAAACTGTACGTCTCACCCAGCTTGTTCAAACTTTGCATGGTATTTTTAAGATTTGAATCGAAAATCAAACAACCTTGTTATTGACAGCCGGACGAAGGAGCTAGTAAGTCTAAGGCTTTCCATCTAAATCTAAGGACCGGTTCTCCAACTGCTTTTCACCGCTATGGCTGGAGACTCAATTGGCCAGAAGGACCAGCTGATGGCTGCAGGGGTTTGGAGGATCTTGCATGGTGGAGAGGTCCCCCCTAGAGGCTGCGCTTCACCAACAACGAAGGTAAGATGGTGCCTTTTTGCTCAAAAAGATCAGCACATGCGGGGTGCTGCAGGGCACCACAAATTCTGTTTCTTCGGGTAGCTGGAGTAATTAGGAGTAGACAGCCCATCCAATCCGGACCTCTGCAGGAGCACAGGGCATCACCCAGTACCTGGCCATTCGCAATGCAAACAATGACAACACGTCCCGGGTTCCACCAGTGGCCCAGCCGGTGTTCCACCAGTGTCCCGTCCCAGTGTCAAGATGTGTCAAGTTGGTTTTTACCTAAGCAGACCAACCAACTAACCAACCAACCACCACCAACAACAACAACCAACAACAACCAACAACAACCACAGCAACGTAAGGATTGCAACCTGAGGTGTGGTTTTTGGGCAACATTGGCGCCTTCACCCCCCTCCGGGCTCAGAAAGTGCTTGGCGATCAATGATCCATGGGATTCCTTGGAACAGTTGACAGAAGCCTGCCAAAGACCACGCCAGACCTCAACTGCCCAGTCCCAGTCACTGCCCAGTGCTTCCTTTAGAACGTTCTCGTCCTCGTCCCAGGAGCCGCCTCCTATTCATCCCATAGCCACGTGGCGAGTCAAAAGACGCTGGCCGGCCTCGTGCGCCGGAAAGAGCCCCTCGGCGGCCTTTGGACGTCCGAGGCCTGCAGTGCGGTTTGGTCCTCGAGAGTCACAGAGCTCGGGGCGGCGTTGGGTCCCCTTACGTGAGTGGATGTGACAGGGGCAACCCGACTTCCTCCATGGATCGCACCCCGACATGTGACTGCTGGATGATCTATGTTGATTGGATCATAAGCTATTTTGATCTAGTCTTGACACAGTTGACATGATGTTCATCCTGTTGGGATCGCCCATGTCCAGCTGTGTGCATGTTCAAGCATTAAAGACTGGGAGCTTGAGTATAATAGCTGAGTATAGACACAATACATTGAAGTGGATCTACTGGCATTGCTTCTGGGTAGGATACAGGTTCATTTGTCAGTAACTTGTGACTCCAGGTCCATGTTCGACTTTCTCGGTTGCCTCGGGACCCTCTCCACGTTCAGATAGGGAAGAATCCCGAGGTCCTAGACGATTAGAACAGCCACAGTTGGCGCGTATCGTCTGGTGTCGGGGGTCCACACATGTCCACCCCCAATGTCCACCCCGTGTCCACCGCATCTACTAGCAACAACAAAGCTTCTTTGTTCCGTTCGTAGTAAGGCCAGGAGCCCCGTTCGTAGCGTCCGATCGCTCCGTTTGCTCCTAGTAGCTTCTTTGTTTCTAGTACCTAAAATGTCTGCTTGCCCCAAGTCTTCGAGTTCGAACCCCATGAAGCGATCCCATCCATCCAGTCTCTCCCCCATCTCCCTCTCCGTCCCTCTCCGCCGATCCGCGTTTGCGCCGGTTCGTTGGTCGCTTGGGCGACTCGACGCGTGGACGCGTTGCGCCCGTGCTCAGGATCGATCTGCAGCTGGTGGATCTCGTGCAGAACCTCCTGAGGTTTCGACCCTCCGAGCGCCCCAGAGCCGAGAGGGCCTTAAGTCACGAGTTCTTTGACCACCGGCTCGACGAGTGACGAGTGAGACGGAAGCACACAACTGACTGACGGACGTCACGACGGGACGGGTCACAGAGGGGTTTGGAAGAGATTCTTGGCCGGAAAATGCCAGGGACCATTTGGAGGGCATACCTGGCATACCTTCAAAATCCTTTAAAAGCGAATCCACCGTCACCGTGCTTTCCGGTCCCTGCCCGTCAGCCGTGCTTCCCGTCGCCCGTTGGCGCCAACAGCAATGAGTCGAAGGAGGAGGTAGATTCAGCAGTGAATCACTCGTGTCACGAAGTGCAACTGCAAAGTGTTTCGGAATTGTTTCGTTTGCACGCTCATTAAGGAGAGAACCTGAAAGTGTTGAAGGTTTTGGTTTAGAGAATAGCATACAGGTGTTGAAGCACAGTATTCGACTGTGAGTGCTGTCTCTCACAAACTACTCAACCTTGATGCTATTGGGTACAGAACAAGGATGGGGTTCTTTGTATGCGGTGCCGATTGCACCCAAACACCAAGAAAAGCTTGGTTGTCATACCAGCATGTTGTGTTGCCAAGCATGTGTGTGTGTGTGTTCCTTCTTATCTCTTCAACATGTTTTGCTACACCATGTTATGGTGGCATGAAGCTGCATTGCATTCAGTATGATTGTTTGATGTCCTGCTTTTCTTCAATGGCATGTCAGATGAAAGGATACATACGAGGACCCCCAGTCGGGGTGGTTAATGGACACCCCTTAACAGCTAGCAGCTAAGGGTCTATAAATAGACACCCCTTGGAGGGTCCTGGTATAGGTCATATATGGTCATATAAAGGCCACTCTCGTAGATAGGCCCACGCCACGCGTGAAGCAAAAAACTTTTTGAGAGGAGTGGGGCAAATTTTTGGGGGGCCAGGACTTTACTCTCAGTTTCTCAGTGGTTTTGATCTCTTAGAAGCTCCTCAACCTGGTGGAAACCCCATCGGTGAGAGGAGGCGGAGTCTTTCCTCACGAAACTAAGAAAGTCCTAGAGGAAACTCAACTGAGAAAGTTTGGGGGAAAAAGAACCGTGTTTCTTGGTTTTTGCGAACTGGAATCATTTCTAAAAAAGCTTTCGTTTTCGCAAGCAACATGTGGACGTCGTGTCGCTTGTCCGCATCAAAGTGGCATCGGTGGTTGGAATCGCTTTCTTCCGGTTTTCCACCTGCTTGGAATCCATTCGTTCGACAGGTAACCTTCGACTATCAGGGATCGATGATCGGAGATGCGTCCGGTTTGAACTCTCTTCTCCAGTGTTTGCTTTCATTCTTACCTCGTTTTGCAAACCATTTTTGATGGTTCCTATGGGTCAATTCTCTTCTGGGGAAGACCTGGACGGCAAATCCAACGCGGGTTCCTCGTCTCCTTCGACTGTACCGACTTCGCGGGGTCTGACGCCCTCGTCCTCGCGCCTTTGACGCCGAACTCGCTGACCCCTTGAAGATCCGAAGATCCGAAGAGTAAGATCCTCGAGACAGTCACGGCACCTGTGAGGCTGTGAGGCTGTGACCGCTTCAAAAGAAAAGACCAACTTTATATATATATATATGTGTGTGTATGTTTAAGAGATGTTAAGACGAACACTGACAGAGCAGGCTTGAAAGTGTCTTTGGTCTATCAGCCACAGTGGGAGTCTATCATGTGTCATATAGTATATGTACAGTACATATGTTATATTTACAGCGTATCACAAATCTATCATGTGTCAAAGAAGTATGCAAATGAGATGGTTTCTCTTGTTCAAACGTGTTCAAACGTGTTCAAAACTGCGAGTTTCAGTTATTCGAAGTAGGGGAAGTAGTCATGCTGTGTCATGATAAGAAGTGGCAAGCCCTCCTACCTGTGAGGATGTTTACTTGTTGGAAAGCTTTCGGTCCAGTAGTCCTCGGAGCCTTTTCGCTTCAATATGTCATGTCAAAAATGGAAGCCATGAGACCGCACGAAGCGATCAGCGGGGTGGTCGGAGTGGCCTGAGCTCTGCGAAAGCCAGCAGCCAATGAATTGCGGCAGCATCGCCCCGAGCATAGACCATGTGAATGTGCGCGCAAGAAGACCGCCAAAACGCAGGCAGTTCAGCCACAGTGAGGGTGTATGGACATAGGAAGGGGTTGGCCCTCGCAGTTTTCAACCATTTCAACCCCTTCCCATTGGTTTTGGAGACCTCCCTAGTAAAATACACACCCAAGTGATCCACTGAACTTGTTTGTTTGGAAGCCTAGATTTTCCTGATGACCTGGTTTCATTATATCAGCCAAGTCGGTCAAAAGTAGACAGTTGACATCTACAAGATCAATGAGCGAGTCCAGAGAGGGCTTGAGCGAGTCCAGGAGCGTGCTTGTTTCAAGTTGAGGGTGCAGTGCTATTTCTCAAAAACAATGATCGTATTTGTGGTTCTATGAACATGTCATCCCATGTGCATCTAGTGGTTCCCAAATAGATAGAAACAGTGTCCAATACAGTATTCGTGGTGATTTATGTGTTCTACCAGGACCCTCCAAGGGGTGTCCAATGAACTACCCCACACTACCTATAGACTTCCATTGGGCACCCCTTGGAGGGTCCTGGTATCTATTTTGTGGGTCTCTATGGCCTCAAAGTTGAACTCCGCACGACGAATGGTGAGTTCAAAGGCGCTCCCTGGTGCCACTGGACCGCGTTCTGTTCGACCGGTCGTTGCAGGTGCCGCGAATAGAGAACCAGGTATGAAACACCACATCGCAGGTGATCGCAGGTGCTGTGCTTGGTGCCAGGAAGACCCATGAGAACCAACCAGGTGCACGGAAGCCATGAAAAAAGAAAGCAAGCCTGGCAAGCCTTCCATAAGGTGTCCCATTCCATTCTCCCCTCACGAAGTACTGTAAGTCAAATTACATCCCTTTGGACCATTCTGCGCAATTCCATCCGGTTTCTTTCTGGTGCTTTTCGCTCTTGGTCTCCGATCCACACCTTTCGAAGCTGCAGACTCTGGTCCCAGGACAGGGCCCAAGGCCGCCAAGGCCGGCACTCTGAACCCGCCACCACGGGCACCCGAGGCGCTCGCCACCGCGAGCTCAGCCGCAGCTCCCTGTCGCTTGGCCTTTCTGCAGCTCCGCTCCCGAGACCTGGCGGTGCGGGTCTCACGGGGAGGAGAGCAGGTCGGTGGGGTGAAGGAAGGAGCACTTTTTGTGGTGAAGGACCTCAGTGAAGAGAATGAAGAGAGATTTTCAAGGCATGGCTGATGTGGGCAAGACTGTGTTTGACCTGGTTGGACCACATTCCATAACAGCTTTGTGTCTTGTGTTTTATGGGAGAAACAAACCTCACACGTCCCGAAGTGAAACGAGAACCCTTCGCTCCCAACACCTGGCAGCGGGTCCGTGGGTCCCGCAGGGAACGTCCAGACATCTCAGACCCACCTCACCAAGTGTGTGTTTTGCTAAGGGCATAGCGGGCATAGCTGCTTGAGCATCCATCCTTGGTGGAGAAGTCTGCTTGGGACTGGCTATGTAGAGTCCTTTGTAGCATGGTAGTATTGAAGATCTCGTGTAGGCCATGGTTTTCAACGTCAACATCAATGGCCATGACCCGGCTTAAACCCAAAGGGAATGGTATTATATACCTCATAGCCTCATGGGGATGGGGTCTTTTCACCGGTCCACTGGCCTTTTGACCGGTCCTTCCTACCCGTGTGGACACCTTCGCTTCGCTTCTGTCAGGTGGATCTGACGCCGTCCTTCGACCCGGAGGTCTTCAACTATGTGGCTCGACTCAGAGATCGAGCTGGCGTGCCCACCAGTTTGGAGTTCTTAGGACATCAAACTATGGTGAGGTACCATGGTGACAGTTGGCGTGCCCACTTTGGCTTCTCAGTGGTGAATTCTTGGGCGGTGTCCTGACTCGATGGGTCATCAACCTTGAAAAGAGGGGCCTTTCCTTGGATTTCTATGGATTTCTCCCGGCAGTAAGGAACTCCAAAGTTTTAGGTTGGTTTTGATGTATTTGTTCCTTTCATGAAAAACTGCCAAAAGTTGGTCGAAGGTTTGTCAATTGCATACCCCTCCGGACGTTTGCTGACGATGGTGTTCTTTTTGTTGTGTATAGTCTGTGGGTTCACCACATAGTATTGGATGTGTATGTTGATTTGTCTCAGTCTCAATGGCCAACATGTTCCTTGCGCTGGCATTCAACCTTCGTCTTGCTCTTGAGCAGGCAGGTTGTGGGAGGTTTGACCATGTGGACCCCCCAAAACGTCATATCTACGGCAAACTTCACTGGTTGGACCACCAAAGGATGCCCAAAAAACGGGCAATGACATGCCTGTGATGAGTTCCACATACTTTGGATCAACACCCAAGTCTGAGACGATCCGAGGGTGCCTCGCCAGTCGACGATCGCGGTGTTGGCGTCGGATCCGACCAGGCCGCCACCTTGGAGTTCGCCATGGAGGAGTTCTCCATCGACGCCAAGGTTCCGGAAGGTGGGTCAGCTCAGCCGGAAGACGCCGGGTCAGCTGCGCTGGCGTGGTTTGTCGGGGGGGGGTTGTGGATGTATTTCCTGATTGGGGACCCACAAAGCTCTGGAAAGAGGATGTTAGAAGATGATGTTCGCTACTCGTAGCTGTATACGGTGGAAAGGAAGATTTGCGTACTAGCCATGTGAGATGGAATTGCCAGAAACATTATGGATTGATTTGTGGTGTGACAGGGATTCCAATGCAGGAGACAGTATCTCCTGCTCCAGATCTTGGGGTTTTGTATTCGACTGACATTTCTTCGAGGCATACTATATATAATATACAATTGGATAAACTAGTCCATTTGCGTTTGCTTGAGTAAGTTGACCTGTTCGCTTTGGGATGAGTTGCTATTTGCATCTATTTAGCTTCACCCCCACCCAGGAGTTCCTGGCCACAAAACAGTTTATGCCTGGCGGCCGCCCCCAGGGGGCGGGCCGACTGGATTTTCTGTCTTTGACTCTCAGCAGAGTATGGATGTATGGAACCACCAGCTATGTAACTTTTTCGGACACATTCTTACCAAGTGGGTCTTGGTATGTCTTGGTGCCTTCATGCTCTTGTCTAACTGTTCGCATGCTTGTTGATGCATCGAGTGCCCGCGTCCGAGCGTTTCGGAGCCAAGTCGGGCACCTGAGCTCCACCAGGAACTCGGCTCCACCGAAACCAGGCTGTGAGCTCAGTGGCTTACCCAACCGACCCTTCCTAGCTCCAGCGCCCAACCGCGAAGGCACGGCGGAAGGGGATCGGTACGCGCGAGACTTGGGGTTGGGAGGGGTGGTGTGGAACCAGTGTGAGATGATGGACGTTGGAAACGAAACATCTGTCGGGTGCACCAACAATCACCCACATGCAGACCGGAAACCGTGGGAAGCTGGTGGTTGATGGTGATCAGCTGCGGGAGAATCTGTTGGGATCCGTTGTGCATAGTCCACGAGGAAAGGAACATGGTCTTAAGTCTTCCCAGCAGATTTCACGAACACCAGAAGAATGGTGTCAAGAGTCAAAATCTTGGTCTTTGTACAACCCGGCGGTTGCAACATAGACGAAGCCAAGATAGATCCGGCGAGCCAAGTGAGCCTCTCATTTCTTCTACTGTAGGCATGGGGATCTGGGATTGAATATATCCCAGACACTCCATGGGACTGCCATAGGACTGCCGCTTTATTGACCCCCCTGGCACCACCCCTGGCCGTTTTGAAGGCAGTCCGGAATGGCAGTCCACACGTCGTCTCTGGGTGAAACAGCCATCCATGGCCGTGAAAGGTGCCCACGACGAACAAAAGAAACCCAGATCTGGAACTCGAGATGAGCTAGGCTGCCAGCTGAAAATACATGTGAAGCACATGGACCCTCCATTTGTGTTCAGCACGTCCGAAGGCATGTAGCCAGGACTTCCCCAAAAGGGCTTTGTAGCCAGGGTCCGAGTCCTGGTCATGGGCCGACTTGTGGGACCCCCAGCATGTAGAATGATTGCAAGCTACCCTGTTTCGGACTGAGCCGGAGGGCCCATGTGGTTCAGCCTGGCCTGAGTCCTTTTGTTGGGGCCAACCCATAGGAGTGTCTCATAGGAGAAATGGCAACTCTTGTGCACAGCCAGAGGATGGAAAAGGAAGCTGGCCCAAACATGGTGTGTCAAAGCTTCGATCAAGGAGGCACTCATCGACAACTCAAATTGAAGCGAAACACTCCACCCTGGAGCCCCAGTTCGAACTGGTGCCTGTTGGTGTTTTGACAGGTTCTGATCTCAAACTGCCATTGGCTCAGCGTCTTCGCCAGGGGAGGAAAACGCCAAAGAGACCAACTTGTGCGTGCGCGACCCGCCGCTCGGGCACTCGGCCGGACCGCGGAGCCGCGGTGCTGTGCTCGGCACTCGGCACTGCGAAAGCGCCAGGAGGGTGGGTTTGGGAGAGTAATACCCAGACACTCCATGTATGCCATATATGCCTACATTGAACCCCCAAACCACCCCAATGGGGCGGCATATATGGCATACATGGAGTGTTTGGGATAGGTTGTTTGTTTAAATTGACTTCCGTGTTTTTGTTGTGCAGCAGTGTAGCCGACATTGAGAACGTGGGTGTTAAAGAACTTGCAAAAGAAATAAGAACCAAACCTCACTTGGTGGCCTCTGGGCCGCATATGTTGCTATATGATGCTGGTTAGCGTGAACACTTTGAAATGTGTACCTGACAAGTGCTCGACGATCCCAGTCGCATGTAGGTGCCATTTTGACTCAGGCATACCAGGTGACGAGTAGTTGGAAGCTGCGCATCCCCTTTTCAGCAAACCCTTGGCAAGACACCACTTGCATCCACTTGTTGTCAGATTTGTTTCAATCATCTCTATAGATGTAGAAGCATGTACAACCCAGCAAGCCTGCCATGACTGTCATACCTCGCACAGTCAGTCAGTTGTCAGTTTGATGTGGCTGTCAACAGCCCCATCAAACTAACCAGTCTACAAGTTGTCCAATCATTTTGGGCCATAGCTTCCACCTTGTTCCTCGCCTCAGTTCACCTCCCAGTTCCCCGGTATTCCAAGGCTTTCCCCAGCCGCACGACACTGCTCTTCATGAACGCACCGCCGTGAGTCAAAAGCACCAGATCCTGATGAAGATAGCTCGACATTCCCTTGATGACACTGTCAGACTCCTAGCACAGCTCAAAAAACCCAACAAAAACCAGACCCCATGGCCCCCCCCCTGAACCTCTGAACCCCGTCCCCGTCCTCTGAACCTCTGAACCCTGACCCAGACGGCTCCCAGGAGCGGCAAGGAGCAATGGTATCGCATCTCCGCCGGGGGACCGAACCGACGGGCGTAGTCGTACGGGCGGCCGGGACCGGTGGATGGGGGATGGGACCGGTGTGTGCGGAAAGAAAGACAGGCCGAACAGGTGGATAGGAGTGGAAGAGGGTCCTATCCACTCCTATCAGGAGAGGGTGAGCACCTCACTGGATAGGAGTGGATAGGAGTGGATCTTGTCCTTTGTGTGTTTTTGCAGGAAAGGGTGAGACTGCAAGAGGTGAAAAGATCAGTGGCTACGCGCGGTGTTATCCAGACCAGGCGTTAACAGTCCTTAGGTTCATAGGGTGAGAAGACGTGATAAGGATTGATAAGGCCATACTTGGACATTTGGTGCCAGGGTAGTTTGCCACTTGTTTTGCGAAAGAGATTGCTGATGTGTGGTTGATGTTCTTCTTTGATGTCTTGGACGCATATATTAAATCTATGACAGTGCTGGCTGACTCCACGTGGTTGTGTTTACAACATGTACTCAACACCGATAGCACTGAACACCGATCAGAGGGTTTCTTCAAGTGCAAGGTGCAAGGTGCAGGTTTGGAAGAAAAAACAACTATACATCGAAGAACCTGAGTAGCTTTCAGGGACAACAATGGAGTCAACTGGCGGTGGTTCCCTTCGACCTGTGCAGATTTCTTCGCCACCCTCGCCTCATTCCCTACCCTACTCATCCTCAGTCCTCATTGCCTTTGCAGCAATAAACCCCTACAAGTCCAGTCAGACCAAGTTAAACCATGTTAAACCGGGTCCTTGACCTCATTGAGTACTGGTTTTGCATTTGGTCCCGCACCCCGTCAGATCAAACTGACCTGTCGGCGCCCCCCCCTCGTCCGGTGTCACAGTGGTGTCAATAGCTTTTTGGACCCAGACCTAAACGACCCAGACCCAGACCGCCTTGGCTGTTGGCTGGTTTAGGTCCGACCCAAAACTGCCGGATGACCCCTGGGGATCGCCACTGCGGCCTGGTCTAAAACGAAGAACGGTGAAGAACCAGCCGCACCTCCGGAGTGAACCAATCGTGGGGGTTGGCCGTCCCGCCCTTCTTCCGCACCGGACAAGGGCGGCGCGCGACTCAGGTCACGAAGCTGGCCGGCAGCGAGACGGAGGTGAGCGGGATTTTTGCAGATCGATGTGGAGAAGAAGCCGGTTTTGCTTTTTTCCTTTGCTCATGTGGCTGTCAGAATTCCCTTTGCTCCTCCTTTTTAGCGCTATTGTTGCACTTTTTGAGTAGCGCCATCTACTGAAGCATCTACTGTCACCCTAAAGTAGGAGATTCAGGAAGATTCGGCCTTTCAAGTGGGTTTACTGGGATCTCAGCAACCAATCGGGTTCTGCAGCCTTCTTCTCACAGCCTGCATTAGGCTTTCCTCCTCAGCTCAAGCACGTGAGAGGATCAGCAACACATATGGTGTGCCTTCTTCATGCATCATTCACGGGTTGTTTCAGGAACCTTGGGGAAGATACCTTGGTCTTTGCGTTTTGCTGTGAAATCACGAAAGGTAGCCCCGCGTCGGGGATACCTCGAGTTTGTCTTGCGAAGCAAGTGTCGGCGCGTTCGGGTCCAATAATTGATCATTCAATTCAACCCCCCCCCCATCGAATTGATTTTTCAATACAGACCCCCCTCCCCCCGCCCCCCGGGGAATTGATTGTTCAATACCGACCCCCCCCCTCTAAATTCAATTCTCTCCTGGAGAACGTCTTCGTGAGCCTCTCATGATTTCAGGACAGTTGAAACCCTCTTGAACATTCAGAAAGAGTGCATATGAAATTCTAATCACGAAAGGTGTTCCCCGAGGGGATACATACCTAGAGTTTGTTTTGTGAAGCACGTCAATTCTCTCCTGGGGACCGTCTTCGTGAGCCTCTTATGGTTTCAGGATAGTTTAAATCCTATGATGCTCTGATTCAATGCTCACCGATGATCTGAGCCATGGGGCAAGTTTGTTTTTCTAAGAATCTTTGTGAACATTTCGAGAGCATATGATTGAACATTTAGAGTGCATATGAAATTATATTTACGAAAGGTCGCCTCCATGTCGAACATTGCATTTTTGTTCCTGCCTCTCGCGTTCTCTTCTCTTCCCGTTGTCCTACCTTTCGTGTCTCCCTCTCAAGTCTCAATGGGTTCCACAGACTCTCCGTTCGGCTGATCCCAACACCTCACACGCGTAGGTGTTGGGTTTGCAGCTACGAGGCCAGGGGGGCTCCTCTTAGGCAGCCAAGCTGTGGATGCTCAAGAGTTCAATAGGATGCCCCCATAAGCCCCCTGTGCAATGCTCACAAGTTTGGATAACCCCAAACTTCAACATCCTGCACAAAAACAAGGACATTGTGATGACAGTATCGGGATGATGGACATGAACTGCGATTAATGGGATGGTTTGCATATGACATAGATGTTCTACCAAGTTCAGTCAATCCTTCAAAGCTGGATTATTTGAAACCTATCTCGAAACCTATCCTAGTTGAAGGGTCACCTCCAAATGGATTTCCCCCAGAGAAAACTTAAAAAGATCGACCTTCCTACTTCCTACCAAGCCCATCGTGGTTTAGCTGCAAAGCATCGCGTCTTTTTTCTCGCCCAGAGCACCCTGATCCCCTGATCTGGTGAGGCGAACCTCCTCCCACCTTTGCCATTGCCATTCTTGGGGGTTCAGGTCAGTCAAGCATCCGACCTTTCAAGGGGTGCCCTGGCTGGTTTCGCCCCAGCCCACCACTAAGGGACCTCTGGACACCCCTTAGAAGGTCAAACATCCAAAACCTCCGAGTCTTTACGGACCGTCGCGATGGAAAGGACGAGGAGGACCTGACGACGGTCTGCCCAACTGGCAGTTTCAAACATCACCCAACTCAACTCCAGAGTTTTGGATCCAACGAAAACCCAACAAATCACCTAAATCACCCAAATCACCTATATCACCCAACAGATGCCTTACCACAAATATCACAAATGACTGCATGGAACATCATGAAACCACGTAGACACATCAAAATGGAAGTCTTCCTAAAAAGAAAACAACCGACAACCGACAACTCTAGGCCCTTCAAACATCCGAGCTACATCCAGGTGGAGAGCTGCATCCAAGCTTCGAGCCCGCTGTCCGGAGCTACACGGCCCGGGGATCCCGGTGCAAAAACAGTGCTGCATCCGACGCTCGCGAGCCTGCCGGGGCGAGGCGAAGCAGATTTGCTGCATGTGATGTTGGAAAGACATATGTTCGAAGATGTTGGAAATAGATCGAAATATAAACAATATATATATATATTATATATATTATATGTATATATACCTAGAGCCCATTTGACCTCTGTTTTGATAGGAGAAGACCATCTTTTGGGTGGTTGGTAATCCAAAATAAAGGTCATTCAGGTTCTAGGTTTATATAGATGTCTTATGATAGTGTTATATTGTGTTGCAAGGTTGTTTTTTGCCGATGATTCGGATCGTTGAATGGAGGGCATCCGAGATTTCATGGAAGGTCTCTAGTTTTCGATTACTGTAGGGATTCTGGAATTTGGTCGAAGGGTTTTTCAACAGGGTGCCAAATGCAAGGCCAAGCCCGTGGGTACGTTCGAACTATCAGAAGTACTTAGACTTAGGACCACTGCAGAGTAGATGGTGCGCAGGAGCCCTCAACAGATGTGTGCAGGTTCCACCTGCATCTTTAACATACTGTAGTTTACAGCAACCTCAAAACCGCCCAAACCTGGTTTGCTCATTGGTTTTGGAGTGTTCTGATCTTGGGCGTGGTGACGCTCTAATTCGTCTCAAACAGCTCGGTGACGGCACAGCACATGTGGGCAGGTGGGCAGCTCTTGCGTGTTGGATTCTTCCAGAAACAGACAGGATGACCTCAAGACGATGGAAGAATATGGAATTCACCCAAGACGATGGTAGAATTCACCTCCTTGAGGCTTTTCACCTCCTTGAGGCCCACCATCTAGGACGACTCATGGTGGTGCTTGGGCACAAAAAGGCGCCTGATTCGCTGCACTGACTGATTCTCAGGCCCACATGGATGTGGCCTATGAGTTCATCCAGGCAGAGAGTCTGGGGCGGGCCAGAGATTCTGTTTGGAAAAGGGAGGTCAAGGATATTTGTTCATGATGGTTTTTTCACCTATCCCCTAGACTTCCAAGACCATTTCAAAGAATGGTTGAAGTTGGTTCGGTAAAGCCTATGAAATGGATGGTGGGCCAGGAAGCCTGGGGAAACCCAACAGAGCCACATAGAAAACGTTTGAGTGTTGAGGAGTCAAACGCGCCATTTCGCGTGTTGGCCACCTCGGACTGACGAGTAGATCCTGTGGCCCAAGTAGTAGATCGTGTGAGATCGTCGCAAACCAAACCCAGGGCTGGAAGATGTGGACTTTCGGAAAGAACATAGGATAACATAGGTCATCATAGAAACACCAGGTTTTTTAGAAAACGAAGAGGTCGGGCAGGTCGGTATTGTTTGTGTTGATCATTTATATCATTCATGATATAGTTGTTTGATGAATAAAAGATTGACGCATGATCTCATTCGTTTTTGCTTGGTGAGAGGATTCCTTTTTCGATCTTATGTTTGACATGTTTTAATTGAGCTGAATGTTCAAATTGAGATGCGATCACTTATACTAGTACGGGTATGTGCAAGCAACAAAGCCACTGGCTCCTCCTCCTCCTTCTCCTCCTCAATGATCCATGGGCCATGGGTATCAACAATGAAAAGCTATGGTCAGGATCAACAAACAATTACTACCAGGATTCAGGCTCAAAAAAGAAGGAAGGAAGGAGAACAGAACATAAAGCAGACCTTTGGTTTTTTGCGTGGTTTGCTTTATTGACTGCTGGAGGAGGCGCTGCGCCCTTCCCCCCTTAACTCCCAGACAAAATTTGCACATGGCATTCCTGTATTTCCTGGCCTGCCACTAAATCGGATACGGTTCTTGGTTGCTGGAGAATGCAAAAAATGTTCCTGCGATCATGACCTGTAGGATTTGCAACAGGAGAAAACAATATAGTTTTTGTTGTGCTTCTGATTCTGCCAGAAAGCAATGTAGAAAGCAATGTTGTTGTGTCAGCGGCCGGTTCTGCATGCTGGTCGCAGAAAGTGTTTGTGTGCCCAAAACCGTGGACAAGCTTTCGGCCGTTGCATGTTCGTTCAATCCTGGGTTTGAAACAGTTTGGAATACTGTGTTGTTGATTGCAATAATACCAATGTATGTTCTTTTGATCTTCGGGGATGATTGTTTAGATCCTACTGCCCTGAACCGGGCTGTGGCATGGACTGTCCACGACACGAAGCCGCCAGGTCTCCTACGTGGTGTTGGACAACGGGCAGAGGCTCCGCTGGAAGGTGAGACACCGTGGACCGTGTGGTTTGATGTGGTGTGGAGAGCTGGAGAGCCAATAGATCATTAACAACACGATGAAGGTTGATTGAGACTTGGTCATGACGGTTTTGATGTGGATGGTATATTTGCTCACACACACACAGACACACATATATACTTAAACCGAATGATGACAAGAACGTCACCGCGAAGGCCCCCACGCAGATATAGTCAACCAATCCGTGGGGAGGATATTGGAACCGACCGAAAAACCGCGGGAGCGCATCGCACTTCGAAGCATCGAAGCGGTCGCTCAAAGCGGTCGCTGGGACTCACCCTCACCCAGACGGACAGGCGGAACGGACATGGCCAAGCGGTTGAATCTCAAAAGACATCAAAAAGCCTTTCTTCATCTCATGCGGGTTGAGAGCCATGCGTGCGTTGGACATTGAGCATGTATAAACTGCCACATCATGTGTGTGCTAGCTCTAACCAGAGGAATGGTTCCACCGCTGCTCCAGAGATTGGGGTCCAGTTTGTGACCATTTTTCCCCAGATAGCGAAGCTATGGGGTTCTTACTTCAAATAACAATGAGCTGCCTGTGCGCGCTTTCGAGACAGGTTGCTGGTGCTGTGAGCGTGCCGGGTGCCGGTGCTGGTGCTGGTGCTGTGAGCTGGCTGTGCACGTGGTAGAGACAGGGTGCCGGGTACCGGTGCTGGTGCTGGGTGCCGGTGCCGGGTGCTGGGTGTGCACGTGGTGGAGACAGGGTGCTGGGTGCCGGTGCTGGGTGCTAGCAGTGCGCGTGGTGGAGACCGTTGCTGGCTGTGCACGTGGTGGAGACAGGGTGCGGCATGCTGGGTGCCGTGAGCTGGCGTGCCGGTGCTCGGTGCTGGTGCCCGCTTCTGACAGTGAAGTGATAACAACTGCCGCTTCTGACAGTGAAGTGCCAGAAGTCATGGGCCGCATGAACTCATGCACACAACATCATACGGTTCTTTGTCTATTAGCGCTGTGGGGTATTTACACTCTTCAGGTTCTGTTTTGGCCGACAGCTGTGTCAAGGGCAGTGCTGTTTGCGCGCATACTTTTGTACGTATAATGTTCTATGCACAACGTCAGGCTCTCACCGACCATTGTTTCAGCATGCTTCAGCATGCTACACACACACACTCACTAGTCGTGCTGGATACTGCGTGGCCTTGGGCAAGTGAAGCCTACGGGCTTTGCCGTTTGCGCGCATACTTTTGTGCGCATAAACTTATACGCGCAAAATCATACGGCCTTATCGTTCCACAGACCGTTGCTTCAAGCATGCTATAGAATCAATAGTGGCGCTGGATACTGCTTGGTGTTGGGCCAATGACACTTACGGGCTTTGCTGTTTGCGCGCATGCTTTTGCGCGCATAAACTTATACGCGCAAGATCATACGTTGCTATTTCCCATATACTTGCCGTTGTTTAGCAGTAGCTTGGTTGCTCTTGGGGTCTTCTTTGTTGCTAAGTTGAGTATTAATGTGTGCATGATGGCGCTATTCAAGTAAAAGATGTTGCTAAGTTGAGGAATAGGTGCGCATGCCGTCAAAGTACTGTCTGGTCAGCATTGTGACCCTGCACTGGTTTTATATGTTTGTATGTTTCGAGGTGGAAAGGGAACATTGAAACTGTGTCATGTTCCATAAACCAGGTGTAAACAGTGCAACGTCCAAGGTCGAAAACCTCTAAATTTTCCAAGAAACAGAAGAGAACGGCTTGTTTGCTCTACGGTTTTCCGGGAAACTTTGGTGCTTTTCGCCTGTCCAGCTTGGAGACCAAGTTACCCCTCCTTCGGGGCGCTACTTTGAGAAATTGGTGATGCTCCACAATGGTGAACCAGACCAATCTGATTTTGGGTAGAACTCATCAACTGTTCAAGAAGGAAGAGGGAGAAATGACTTCATATGCACAAAGCATCGTACAGTTCTACTGTGAACTTTGCGGAATCTCTGAATCCTCCTTGAAAGCAGTGCCATCGCCGGCGCTTCCCGAATCCAACATGAGTGACGAAGAGGTTGATCAGCAAGGTTGGCTTCACAAGGATGCTGCCAAGGCCTTGATGAGATTGCTTTGGCTAAGCCGCCTGTCACGCCCAGATATATTTTTCATTGTACGCCGATTAGCTGCCAACGTATCCAGGTGGAGCCGTTGGGACGATCGCCAGCTTCATAGACTTGAGCCGAGGCATCGCTACATCTACCAGCAGCAAAAGGCCTTGGATTTGGGTGGAGGCCACCCGCAATGGCTTGAAGAAAAGGCTGGCCTGAACAGGGAACACAGGGTGAGCTTGTTGAAGTCGGAGGAACGCTCAGACTGCCCGCCGGTGTCCCCATTGTCGATGATTCGCTTCTTGCCACTAGATTGGACTATAGCGCAGTTAATAACGCACGCTGGCTGCGCACGCTTTCGAAAGGGCGTCGGTGCTGGTGCTGGTGTTGTGATCCTGGGCGCTGGTGCTGTGAGCTGGCTGAGCGCGCGTTTAAGACGGGCGGCGGCGCTGGTCGGGCGCTGGTGCCGCTGCCGGTGTTGTCAGCTGGCAAAGCGCACCGGTGCTGGTGTCAGCTGATTGTGCGCGCTGTGGAGGTGCCGTAAGCTGGCTGCGCAGGCTGCGTACATTCTTGTTCCAGCCAGTCTATGTCAACAGGTCGTGGGATTCGGCCTAGCTATCTGGGTCTATGCTGGTGTAATCTCCGATAGATAGATGCCAGATAGCAACATATATAAAGGATCTGTGGGCAGCATGACACTAGCACCCACACGCCAAATCATGCACTGCCAAAAGCATTTGTCAGCGGCACCCTGCAGCGGCCTGAAGCGACATCAACGTGCAGGCTCCAAAGCTCAAACTGCCATAGACAGCTGGAAGCAACCCCCCACGCCGGCGTCTTGCATTAGCACCGGCACCCAAGCTCCAGAGCGCACAGGGCACAGACATGTGGGCACCTTGCAGCGGCACCCTGCACCAGCACACAGCGCTGTCAACAAGCTCCTTCAGTTTGCGTCGAGCGCCCGCGTTAGAAGTTACAAACAGCAGCGGGAAGCTATGGTGAAAGCCCGAAAACCGTCAGCCTAGGCATCACATGGAAGCCACGCGGCTTCAACAAAAGAACGGTTCTTCATCTCCACAGGCCGCCCTGTCCAACCTCACGAGGAAGTCCCTTCATGTCGCCCAGAAATCACGCGTTTCATTCGTTTCATTTCCGTCATGAATCGTATATTGATGTTGTCCTTTCCTTGCCAATTTGCAGGGGTGTCAAGACGCAAGTGGTTACACCAACAGACTTTCTTCATGATCATGGAGGAGCTGGCGAACCTGAACAATGGTCACGGCCACCCTTTGTACACAATTGAGTGGGATGTGCTGAATCCTCGGATTCACGCAGGGGTTCCTCAAAACCGCCCCAGACTGTTCATCATCGGCATTCGCAACGATGTGAAGCGCAGCCGATTTGGAATTCCCTGCCGAGGAGGAGATGTGGGACATGGCCGACTACGTGGATCCTGACATTGCGCCGGAGCATGACGCCGCTCTCAGCCGAACTGAGCTCGGCCAAGGAGAGCAGAACATCAGCTGGTCGCAAGAGCACGCAGTCGTAAACTTGGGAGGCTCCACTACCCATTTTAATGTTGGGTGTAGGGCGGGCTCTCAAGGATACTACTTGACATGGCTGCAGCGTAAGATGATTCTGGCAGAGATCCTGGCGCTGCAACGGGTGGAGCTGTCAGTGATGTGCAGAGCGAATCTGGGGATATGCAGGCTGCCGCCCCTTGGCAAGTTGGTGTTTTGGCCGCTTTGCTCTTGGTCCTTGAGATCTTCGTTGGGGCCCACCCCATGGAAGTAACGCCTGCAAGTAGTACTCAACTTGATGTGTTGAGTAGCGCCGGGGCTCGAAATTTACGCTGCTCTTGGAGAAATTGCAACAATGCCGGATGCCCATATGCCAGAACTCCCTTTTGGACGCGGCCGCCTCCAGATCCCCTTCCGCCGCTCAAGAGCTTCCTGCCACGCAACAAGGCCCTGCCACCCCACACCAAAAAAAAATAAGAAGAAGGTAGAAGATGAGGGAGGCTTTGCCCGCTCCTGCTGTGGCCGCGCCTGCTGTTCCAATCGGCGAGCGCCCTTTGACCCTGCAAGAGGTCTGGGCCAGTGATTTTGGCTACGGGGCAAGGTGCAGCCAGAGGGCTTGCACGCCCAACATTTCATCACATGGTTGTCTTGAAGCAAACGCTCTTGACAGGGAAGCCAAAGATCACGAGGAAGGAAGCTTGTGACAAGATGCGCAGTTCCCGTGAGAACGGACGTAAATCTTTACCAAAAGATAAATGGACCGATGTGATGGCAGCTGCTGCATTGCAGCACCCAGAGTTTTTGTGGTTCCAAGGAGAGACATTGTGCTTGAAAGTTGTGCTCGACACTTCTGATGGTAAAGTCAAGTACCACAGCGAACTCATGAAAGACAAAGCAGCTGAGAAAAGAGATCGCCGCGGCAAGCGCGCCAGCGCAGATGGACCGAAAACCTTGACAACAGTAGCAACAGGTAGCATTTGAAGACCTGTTTTCCCCACCTGCCAGGTGAGGGTTGTTAGATTTGATTAGAGCTCTTCTCCGTCCTCCTCCTCCTTCTCCCTCCTCCGCCTCCTCGCCACCACGACTGCAATTCGCCAGATCACAGTGGACACTACCGGACCTCAATAGCAACCTCAACACCAAGTGCCAGATTCGAGTGGGCACTGCCACCTCAACCGCAAGTGCCAGACCGCAGTGGGCATGACCGGACCTCAAACACAAGCGCCAGACTTCAACCGCAAGCGCCAGATCGCAGTGGGCGCTACCGGAACTCAACCAGCGGGCACTACGGGACCTCCACTGTAAATGCTAGATCGCAGTGGGCACTACATGACCTCAACCCCCAGCTCCCGATCGCACTGGGCGCTGCCGGACCTCAACCGCGAGCTCCCGATCGCAGTGGGCTCTGTCAGAATATATGCCAGAGTATACGCAGGATAGAATGTCAAAGCTAAGGTAGTTAAGCAACACCCTTTCAGGCTCACAGCGTGTTTGCAGTTTTGCATTGCTGCGACCTTCCTTCCTGCTGTTGAAATCCTTCACTGCAAGCCTTGCAGGCGCTCCTACCTAAAGCTCTCTTGTCATGGCTTCATATGCTCTGCACCTTGGCTTCAAAGGTAACGGTGACTTGCAGGCCAGCGGAGACCAGATCTGCGGATCAAACCAACAGCGGACCAGAATCGCCGGATCAGCGGATCAGCAGACCACCGGAATCATCCGACCAGTTTCGCCAGTGAGGAGTACAGCAGTTTCAGTAGGAGAATCGCCTACCACATCTTCCAACTTTGTCTTCACCCAATGTCGTCCGTGGCCAGTGGACCCTATGAGTGGCCCCGTCACCCTCCGATCTCCAACCACACTTTCCGACAGCGCTTGATGCCCGGTGCAACCTGGGTCAATTCAGATGCCACGTAACAGTCTTCCCATGTCTCCCAACTGATCATGCAAGAGCGGCATTCTTCCAGTCGATGCGTTAGCCTTCCGCGAGGGCGCTTCCTCGCCCTATCACAAGACATGCCGCAAAGATGCGGGCAAACAAAAGACTGAAGCATCCATGACATCCTATGACCATGCTGAAAGGAAAGGGGGATGTAAATCGTGAATACGGACGCAAGACCGCTGGCCACTCTAGGTGAAAATCCTTCCCCACTTGGAAGGGAAACTGCAAACACACAGGTCAGGTTGATCTCCCGGCTTGACCCAGTCATCCAATGCTGAATGTGGCAGAAAAGAACGGTTTTCACACCACATCTTACATCCTAATCGAAGAAACAACACCGTCTCAGATCGTCTCAGCATATAGTGATATAAAGGGTGGTTGACATTGTGTTGTGTAACACATGATTTCACGCTCCCGTTCGGTCTGCAGGCCACACCAGAAGTGCCTGAAGCCACGGTTGGCGGCCATGATCGAGATGGTCCGAATGAAGATGATGGAGGCCGAGCCGCTGTGTGGGCCAGCCCATTCATTTCACGTTTGATTTGTGCGAAAGGAACTATAGAATCTATAGAGGAAATTGCAAAACGCACACAAACAATCGTATTCTGGTGGTGTTCTGAATGTTAATTCGCAAAAAGGCGATGTCTTGGGTGACATGATCATTGTTCGACCGTACATCTCAAGAATCATCAAAAGACAAACGTATGATTTGTTCATTGATCCTGTTCAACATTTCTTGACTATCAACCAAAGAGAGATAGATATATAATGTATTCCTACTTTGGGGCTGAGCCAATGGCAAAAGGTTCTCAAATCCCCAAAAACCCATGGGTGACGGCCTCTGATGGACCTTACGCTGCACGCGTCTGCTACGTTCAGCTTGCCCAGGCAACACCACTGAGGAGAGACCAAGTCCGAAGCAGTCGGATTTCTGTTGAGGTCGGACGAGTCTTGGTGTGGAAACACGAACCACTTCAGACAAACGGATGACTTGTGTTAGTTGGTTCAGGACTGACTAACCTAGAACCATTTCAGAACTCTGCTTGGAAACACTTCCTCTCAGAGTGGGTCCAACCTCTCCCAGACCAGAGCTGTTTGGAACTGCACCAAAGTCTCCAGTGGGAATGGCCTACTCGGATTCGTTGTTGGACCTACCAAGCTTCGACCCAGCCAATGACTCAGCCATGTTTGTATGGGAAACCACGGGTGGTATACTCGTTTGAGACATCGATGTTCTGCAAGTGTCTAAAGCAGAAGTTGTGCATGCCTGACTCTGTCATGCTATACATGCACTACATAGCCTCCAGCGTGGTGGTCACGCGCATGCAGGATGTCACATGCGTTGAAAGAAGGAGTGGAAATCAGGAGGTCTTGACGGATGTCTTGCCACCTTATGCCACGTGCAAGAGGTTCCTCATCTAGAAGATCAATGGTTCTATCGTGTACTATCTACATGATGCTAAATGGAGAATTCTCACCTGACCAAGAGATTAACTGATGTGCTTTGCAGCATTGTTTGAGAAAGAGATGTCCTATGAGTTCCCCATCTACTTCGAACCACTGCAAACTCTCTTACAGTTCGTCGGAGAGGTTCACCTCTCATCGGGCAGCATGTTCGAATAGGTATGTAGAGGTGGTGTTTAGTTTAGGACCCTAATGGGTGGGCCTCTCTTTTTCAAGGGTCAGAAACAGGTGCTACGAACAGGCTGTGTTGTCTCAATGAGCTTGTGCGCTCTCCGAAGGAGCGTCGGCTGACGGGGGAGAAACAACACTTCCTGCGGCACGAGGTGCAGAGCATCTACACGGGATGGGGAGTTGCAGAGCAGATCGCGCAAGGAGCACCGGTACCCTTCCCAAAGGTGAGAGGGAAGATTTGAAGAAAGCCACACCAATTATCAATGATACGATACTCCATGATGCCAATGATTCATGGGGTCCATTGCGGCGTGGTCGTATCTTTTCGGGGTCCTTGGGTCTTACAAGCAATGGTTTGCAGATGTTTGCAATGGAAGATTGACCACACACCTGCTTGACTTGCTATTCGTAGCTGCCCAGTGTCCTGAAAGGATGACACACGATGATATGCTTTGACCCCGAAAGGGTTGGGAAGAGGACACATCAACTCTAGAACCCAGTGGTTGGGAGCTCTACCCCATGCTGATACACTCCCATATCTCACAAAGGATGAAAGCCAATGAACCCCTTCAACCAGTGGATGAAAGCCAATGAACCCCTTCAACCAGTGGCAAAAGCCAATGAAAGCCGATGGTCCGATGCAGGTCTTTCCCATTGATGTGGGTCTGGAGCTCGGATCTCTCACAGAGCACCTGTTGATTTTTCTTCAAAGTCGGGATCTTGGGAAAGATGGTATACGGACAAGGATGCCAGACATGTTGAGCTATCATCTCACGTGCCTTGATGTAGATACGTGCCTTGATGTAGATTCACTTGATATCTCTTGATTCGTCAAAAAACACTATTTGGAGTATACAACCTAATACAACCTCCTCCAAATGGAAGTAAGTCAATGTGGTCTTTCCCGAAGTCGACGTCCACACCTATTCCCCGACTCGGCCACCGATGGGCCGACCGAGGCTACACCCGGAAGGTCACACTATCCATCCAATCGGCCGACCCCATGCAGGACGGGTCTCCGGTGCAAAGTCGACGGGTCACAACCCGTCTCCGTTCGGTGCGACGGGACGGGTGGGTGGTCGTCTGGTCGGAGACGGGTCGAAAAGAACCAGTGTGGTTTTACCAGGAGTAGAGTTGCTTGGCATATGTTTTGGGCATCCGAAAACTGGGTTTAGGGCTTACAAGCCTGCCTTGTACAATTGGTTATCCTGTGTGTCCCTGATCTATGGGGAGAGAGAGGGGATCAAGTGAGTGAGTGGTGAATCACCAAGCCAGATGAGGTTGATCTATTCTCACACATGTCTAAAGTTGCCACAATGAGTCAACAAATACTTGTACTGTACAACACATGAGTCATTGAGAATTCCACAATCTTGAAACATCCTGAAAGAAACGAATGAACATCAATGGAATGGTTCATCCTTATAATTATACATATATCATCAAGTATACCAGTATACCCAATCACACTTCTTCGCTTGCACGTTCCCTCAACCCCCTTTCGCTTCCCCCCCCGTTTCCCGGTTTCGCATCCACCGGTACCGGTCTACCACCTTGTCCCCCGCATCCGCATCCGGTCTACCTTTACAGGCGGCTCGTGGGGTCTACTTCCTCGAAGTGACGCGTGGCCATTGCCCTCCACGACAGCCCTTCTTCGAGCCCAGGCAGGAACTCGGTCGTCTGTCGGACGCGCAGCAACGGCGCGCCACCCGGAATCGGCCGGACATGCGAGCTGAGCGAGCTGTTCGTCATGAGACGAGCTGTTCCCCAAAGAATCCATGATGGAGCACATGGCAAGCCCATGCGCCATGCCTCCATGAATGGTGTTCTTGTTGAAGTATTTGTTTTTGATGGTTTTGTGGATCAGGTGAGTTAAGTGGTGATTTGTGATGTTCCCTGGCTCCTGGGACAGCAAATCCCCATCGATCCTTGAAAAAAGAGCCACCCCCCGCCGAACGTGACCAGTCCTAGAAGGCCAAGCATGAAGGGTCCAGGTTGGAAGGAATTGGATCCTGTTTCAGGTCGGTTTTGGTGAAGTTCATCCATTCATCTTGATGAGTTCCAGGTTTGAAGTAAGTATCTAGCTGCCCAGCAAGCCACATTCGTAGTTGCTGTTTGCTCATTCTGGTGTTCGATTCTAGTCGGTTTCACTTGATCAACCTGTCACTTGGCCTCTTGGGATTTCTCCCTTGGCACTTCCCTTCCGGGCATCCGGGCATCCACTCCCTCACTCACCTCACTCCCTCACTCGCTTTCCAGGACGCGCGCCTGCCCGGGATCCCGCGCCGGTCATCGATGCGGGCTGAGTCTGGTTGTAGGACCAGGGTGTAGCCCATGACCAGAAACAGTTGGTAAACGATGGTATAACTATAACATGATCCTGTTTTCCCGCGGAAAGGCCAACCTGACCATGATTATTTGTAAGTTGTAATGGGATATATACCCATGCACGGTGATGAATGAGCTTTTATTGAAAATGAATCGCCTGTCAAACAGGGGTTTTGGAAGAGGATTTGTCCCCTTGCCAGGGGTGTTCTAGCAGTTTCTATGTTGGTGTTGGTAGGGTCACCACCAAGAAGGACGTCAGGGCAGTTTCCAAACAAGTGTGTATATAACTATTTTGCGGAGTGTCTCAGGTGGTGTTGGGTTCTAAGGCTTATAAGGGTTCAACAGGACATCACACTTGAAACTTGAGAGGGCTTGGCACTACACATACACAAAATTGCACAAAGGCTTATTTGAAGAGGTGTTATATATATTATAGATTTATGGCAGCGCACACCGATTATTTCTCACCGCATACAGCCGTATGCCCTAATAGTCCTTGAACATCCTGAAAAGCATGCATCCTACGCGTTTTGGCTCCGTCAACGGCGACACAACGCCAGTTGGTACAACCTGTCACAGGCAATCCACACAACGGACAGGACCGACCCATTTCGTTGACTCACTTCGCTGACACACAGATTCACTGACTGACTCACATCACTGACTTACCTACCTGGCGCACTGACGTGACGGTCAGTGACGCATCACTTTGAGCCAAGGTACTTTGGAGTGCCCACAGGGCACCTATCCCAACCACGCGCAAGGCCGATGCTCTTACTGCAACAGGCCTATGGGATTTCCCGTCTCGATGTGCGCTTACAAGCATGTTTAAAAGTTAAAATTGTTGTTTTGATTGTTGAAATGAGTGCGGCGAGTTGAAATGAGGCTTCACCGGTGCCGTGGGGCTGAGACTTCGACCCCGAAATTTTAAGAAATGAACTTAGCACTTCCAAAACCGGAAAGCTTCCCACCGCTCCCTCTCTCTCTCTCGCCAGGAACTGCGCCGTGTGCCAGACGTTGGCGATCTGCGAGTTATGCTTACAGGAATGCTCCAGTCGTTGTGAAAACGGTGTTCGTCGGAACCGACGGGTGTTTTCACGTGCTTGGGCTCAGGTTGTTCAAAAAGACATGACGAATATGAGATTTGAGACTTTCCCCATGTCGCAAAGATGGTGGTGCATTTCGTGCATCTTGTAGAAAACATTGGTTTTGACCTTGCGACCTTCAAGTTCCATCATGGAAGCAAAACAGATTTGCAACAACACATATGGCATCGCGAAGCATTGTACCAACAAGGGATGGAGTAACCACGGGATGTCCGCAGGAGAGAACTTGACGTAGACATTGAACAGAATCCATTCGTGTTGATTTGGGGAATATGTGATGTCTTTTGCGCTGGCGTCATCATAACATATCATATAACTATAAACCATCTACATAAACCATCTAGAACACATGTCATTGTATTTGCCAACTCTTGTTCCCTTCCGTTCATCAGGATACCATCCAGCATAGCTTCATCATCAACAAGGGAGACGGAAGCTGCAAAATGGCGGGAAGCTCAGGGTGATCGCTAGTGTCGGGGTGATGGCCACTGGGCACGCCGCACTGCCACAGCCATATGAATGACCAACCAACGAGTGAATTTCGACAGTCCCTTTTGGTCTCCAAGACGCCTCAAAAGCAACACCTTCTCACTGTGACGCCGCGTCGATGTGGCTGGTCACTTGTGATGGAGCTCCTTTCGAGCAGGGGATAGGGCTCGCGAGCCTGAAATCCATTTCGCTGTATCAAAGGGCCAAAGGTTTGCTGCATGAAGGCGTTCTCTTGAAGCAACCAAGAAATTCGTATGTGTCAGCACTGGGAGGCTCCCAACCTACCTTGCTTGCTGTTCGAACACACTTGAGCAGGCATGACTCCACAATCAGGAATGTGCAATTTTTGTGCAAAGGAAAGATTGACCAACCTACTGCATGCGTGTGCTCTAACGCCCAAATTAAGTGTCCCATCTTCGAACCACACACCTGCCTCCACTCTCAGCCAGCGAGTAGAGGCGCATCTTTCGTTTTGCCTTGCGGTTTGCTTCCGCAGAGGTGGAGAAGAACTTCTTCGTGCAGTACTACTGGTGGTGCCACGGGCGGCATGAAGACATACATGCAGCAACAGTCACCACCCTGACCTAGGAGACTCCTGAGGTCGTGAGAGGCTGGATCTTTTGGACACCACCAACTACCCAGGCAATGGGACCATGAACACTTAGACCATCTTCGAATCTTAGACCAACTCATAAGACCTCTTAACCATTAAGTCTTGGCCCAGGCCTCCAGCTGATAGCGAAGTTGATCAGTGACACTCTCCGACACTTCTCATGAAGTCGTCGGCTTTTCTCTCAGTGATTTATATCAGATCGAAGCTGTTTGCTTGCCTTGGGACCAGTTCTGGACCGTGGGGGTTTGGTGAGACCGGACAGATTCTCACCGACCGGGGAGCATCCTCTCACCACACCCGATGTGGAGGTTCGTTCGAAGCCGCTCGAGCGGACGAAGCATCCCATCCATGTTGGTTCAAACGACACAGCGCTGTACCGGTGCGTCGCCGTGGCGTCTCGTCCTACGAACAGGTCTCAGTCTAAGGCGCAACGCGCATATCCCAGTCGCGCTCGCGCCGTTTGGTGGTTGCTTACAGAGCGACACTCTAAGAGAGAACTGTTTGAGACTAGCAAGCACATAAATATATAGTCATCTGCAGGGTGCTTCACCCATGCTAAGAGGCCATGCCTGCACAACCAGGGTCTTCCGAGCTGCTCATGAGCTGATCCTGGCAGAACCAGACGTCCAACCAGGTCGCCACGGTCGTGTTTGTTTAGGTCAACGCATATCAAAATCATTCAATACCTACACCTACACTCCCTCAAATCAATGGATGGAACTGGAGTTCAGAAGTAAACAAGACATCCAGCAATCAACTGCCACTGGAAATCGATCGCTTCACCATTTGAAACCCTGGAAACTTTGGAATAATATCTCCCAACCACATCGGGGGGATCGCCGGCCGGGGCCATCCACCGAGGCTTCGTCGTTGACCGAGGCTTCGCCGGGGTCGACCGGGGTATTGAAATAGGATGCCGCCCCCATGCAACCCTCCCAATCCACTGACCCCAATGAGGTCAAGATGCTGGTCTCAATCTAAGTGTTTGGGAGACGGGCATCGAGTCACTGGCGGGTTCGGGAATTCCTGGCCTGAGGTGCGTCTCTGGAAGTATTTGCGGAGCGCTGGGATGGCTCAGCAGTGGCAGATCGGAGACGCGCGTAGCTGTATTGTAATACACTATAGCCATGTATAGCCAATGCCAGATAGCTTGCCAACGCGAACGTGCCATACATGCAGTGTTTTGGGATAGGATGAAGGGTGAGTCCATCGGAAAAAAGGATCGTCCGAATCATGTCTGACCGTTGCGGGACCGTGAAGAACCTTCCTGAAAGCTGACTGACTGGTTGCAGCAGTAAACATACTTGAGGGCGCAGGACGATGGTGGAGGCAGAGTGTTGTCGGACGAAAGATTCGGGATTCGCTTAATTAACTAGGGAGGATGTTGACCTGTAAGGCAGAGAACCCACGTAGGGATTACAGGTTGGAGAATTCTTTTTCGGTATTTGCGTGGAGAAAAAACCTCCAGGACATCGTGACATCCTGCGTAATACGTCTGAGATCTTTCAGCGGAAAGTCCATTGCAATGTAGATCGGATGAGACTGGCCATGCTCGATCAGTCTGGGTTCTTTCAGGGATCAGTGATAGGAACATACAGTACCCAGTGGATCCCAGTTACCACTATATATAAGGAACCAGGGATTAAAAGTCTATGGTTTTAGTCTTTGGAACCACTGGTTACCAGCAAAAGTGGTAACTGGATCCGCTGGGGTACCTATAGGGCGTGGCCCCAGTAACAATCGCTTTAAGCGATGATCACTATTCTTATTCTTGAGAAAGGCCTTCACTAACCATCATCCACTGTTGGCAATGGGATAAACACCTCAGGCATACCGTACATATCTGCAAAATGGAGTGTTTGAGTTTACGTTCCCCAGTTCGGTGCGATTTCTCCAAGGCTTCTTCTTTGCATGATGATCATCTCCCTTTGCCGCTCAGGAAGCAAATGAAAGGGAGTGTCGGTTTGTGACCGGTTCAACTGTTCTCAGTTCTCCCAAAAAGGTGTTTTGAATATGTCTTCCTCATGCACTCGTTTGGAAACGGTCGCGCCAGGCTGGCCAGGGTGGGGCCAGGCTGTGAGGCCAGGCTATCAGGCCTTCTGATTCCACTTCATCCCACTTCCCAACAACTCTGGAGCCAGAACTCTGCATTCCTCGCCACGATCGCTCCATTTCTGGCGCCGGCCCAACCACCGGTGTCCAGGGATCGAAGATGTTCACCGGACACCGGAGAAGTCGTGCGAGCCGGTCGTGGACGGCAGACGAGAAGGCCGGAAGATCCGGGTCCCAAAGGGTTCCATTGGGCGCCAGGTCTTCGGACGAGTTGAGAGCAACATGTCAGACGCATCCATGTTTGGAAATGTTATAATGTTAAACTCGTATTAGTGGGCGTCCCCCACCTCGCCATTTTGCCCCAGAGAGCTGCTATAGGGGCTGTAGCTTCTCAATGGTGTGGCTCTGGATTGGCGCGTTCGTTTTGTGGGTGCTGCTGCCGTGCTGGTGCAGGTGCAGGTGCTGGGTCGACCAAGGCCTCCTCCCAAGGACACACCATCTTTGGTGAAGACTGCAACCTTCAAGTCAGCTCAGACCAAAGCTGCCACTTCTTTGGCATTGCCTGTCCCTTCTGGAAGCTGATGACACGCTGCCTATGAGTCATCCAGACAGGGTGCTGAAGTTTAAGGATCTACCAGAGCAGGACCTGTCCAAGTATACACATTTGGTCTTTCGGCGCCCCAACGCAGAAGATGCTCTTCATCCACATGAAGCGCCTATATCATAAGCTTTTTGGGTGATTTTCATCGGTGCTCTGGTCTCAACACTCGACCTGTGGAAGTCGTATGGGAACGATTCTGATACCTGCTATCTCTGGTGGAGCATCAAGTACTCCCATTGGCCCATTGGTGCCTTTGAATGAGGTTCATTGCTGATGAGCATTACACTGCTGGTGTCAAGCGCCGGATCGGCATCTTTGTAAAAACTAATTGGAGACGTCCCTCCGAAGGAAGCATTTGGGTTCCTCAAGTACTTTGCAACTTGTGCTCAATGCATCCTTGCCTCTCAGAGTGACCCGGTGGAGTTGGGACACGGCGCCACGGGCATGGCATGCGGAGCTACAACCAGGAGCACCGATCGTCGCACAACCATCGAACAACCAACGCTTCGACGGCTTTGGCATGTCCAAAATATACGATGCAGGACGAACTTCCTTTGCTGCGCCTGCTCCAAACATCTGGGCCAGGCCACCCAGGCCAGCGCACCACGGCCGGCAGACTCCCCGATCCTGCGGCCCGTGCGCGGCGCTCACTCAGTGCTGCTGTTTGAGCCCGTTGCCGGCAAGGATCAAAGACGAAGTTCTAAGCTGAGAGACCGACGAGGTGGAAGGTCTCTCAAGCGCCTGCCGGAGGTGTAAGCCGGGTCCATCGGTTGTTCCTTTGCGCAACTCCTGGACAGTGGTAGACGGCATCAAAACCCACTAAGAAGGAGTTAGCAGGGCCGCGGTCCACAGGCAACCGCTCCTCGCTGCGTTTACCACACTTAATGAATATTTATGACCCCAATGTAGGCAATGATTCCATACATGGATGGCTTCGGATTTCTGGAACAATCCCGTGCGCCCGCTCCCAACGCGTACAATGCACTTCTTCGCTTCGCGGAATTCAACGAGCATCCCCAAGTTGGAGGGTTAATGTAGACTGCCATCTGCTCACGAATCTTGAAGGCCCCATCTACTCTGAAACCACTGGAAGTCCCCAACATGTGTGGTTTGTTGAATGTTTTCGTGGGAAACTTCCAAGGTCAATGCCTTTGTGACTACTGCTGCTCCCGGCGCAGGCAAGGATCCGCCGAAATGAAAAAATCAGGTCGAAAATGGCGGGAAATACATCTTGAGCCTTCGGGGAAAATCCAATGGTCCGATCTGAGGTTTGTGGTCCTTTTTCAGGTCACGCAATAACCTCTCTGGGAATCCACGACTGCTCGAGTAATTGTCTCGACTCATGGGTGCCAACTTGGACACGGATCGTAGGAACATCACTTCGAGACGGCCGAAAATGGAAGGGGGATTGTCCGGAAAAATTGAGAATCGGGGACAAGGACATGGGAAATGCCTTCCTCGGTGTCGACCAGATGGTCGACGGGTTCCGAACTCGATGCACTGCACTCAGGGTGCGCCACTTTGACTCGGATCTGGATTGACGGCAAAGCTCCGCCCGGGCCGCCCGGGCTGCGCGCCTGGCCCGGGGCGCCGGTGGGACTTGGGACCTGAGTCGAGTGGTTGATCAGCAGGGCACCCCAAACAGAGACGGGACCTGGGCAGGACGGTATGCGGTAACCCGGCCCTGTGGGGTGAAATGTGCTTCGGAATGTTTTGGAACACAGACGGTCATTAGCCAATCGGTGTTTGGTCATGTTCTTTGTCTATGTCACATAGGTCCATTTACCACGGTGTCTTTGGATTTACTGTAGTCATTGTGCAAGCCTGGAGTAATATGTGTCTGAAGGAAGTCTTCCGTCAAACACTCATGCTCAAGTCAATGTGAAGAGTACACATTAGCCTTCAAGGTAGAATGACTCTGATTCATTCACCTGAGTCCATCGGCTCCAATTCAGGTCGATCAGATGCTTCTTGTGACCGTGTACATAGCTGATGGATGCTGATGGTCTTATCAAGAGATAGCACTGCTGGAGTTTGGGTGGAGAAAGGGCCGTTCAAAAGAGCTCGCGGAGTTTGACACCATAGGTTGAGCCAGATTGTCTCAGGTCCGCAAATGTTCCCGAAAAACTCCTCCGATGTCTGGTGCCTTTTTGTGTAGATTGGTTCATTTCGTGGAGCAAGATGGACACTGGGAGGGATTCCACGGAGGTGAGAAAACATGCGCCATCGTCGCCAATGTGTTCTTACCCATGGGAAGCTGTATGATCATTGAACCCTCCAAAAGATTGCCACTCTTAAATCGCAGCTGCTTCATGATGTGCTTATATTGGATTGCCCATTCTGGACGTTTGAATTCCCCATGGGATGGCCCTGTTCTGTCTCAGTGTGGTGTGCAAACGAAAAACATACACGGTCACGGTACTACACACCGTCACACACGTGTTTTCATGGCCAGGTGGTCTCGCGCAGAGGACAGGGGGTGTCCACCTGTAGCACACTGAGACTCGAGGGTGGGGAGTACGACGATGCTACGAGAAGACTTATGAGAAGAGTCATTCATGTCATTCATGCGTTCCTTGTTGCATTGCTTGGAGTTCAAGAAAGTTCTAGAGTCTATAGATATGTCTATAGTCCATTTGCCAAGAGGCAACTTGAAGACTAGAGCCTAAACTGCTCCAACCCCGTAAAGACAAAACTATGGAAAAAAAATGTAAAAAAACAAAACAACACAAACACCGACCGATCTCGATTTGAACCTCGACCTTTGAAACCGATCCTCGATCCAGGACGCAAACGGCGCCGTCAACGGCCCGTCAGCCCGGCCGTGGTGCGTTGTTCGCAGCTCCGTTCGGTCCTTCGCAGTTGCGAAGCGAAGCACAAGAGAAGCACGAGGAATTCGGGGGGTTGAGTTGCGTCGTTGCCGTGCGCACATGGAAAACACAGCACTTACAGGCTGCGAGGGTGATGTTCTCGCAGCCAGGGGGGTTTGAACGACTTTCTCCAAGACATTGACCCCTGCGTCTTGCAGCTGGCAACGGTACAGGATCAACATCCCGACGCCCTCCTGGCTGCCAGTGGACATGGCTGCCATCATTTTTCCGAAACCAATTCGACCAAGTATGACATGGGTCGATTTATTGTACAGTCCCTGAAACAATCCTTATTCACATCTTCTTCACTGGCTTCGACCAAGCAAGTCCCATTCTGCCTTTGTCGGCCAGAACAATGTCTGAAGTCTCAGCCCTCTGAAAGAAGATCTTCCTCCTCTTCTACCCGATGCTTTTTGGGGCTCCTGTTTTCGATCTCTTGGAAAACCAAACGGGTCGTCCGTGTAGTCGTCGCCAGGTCGAAAGATCCCTGGTATTGGCCCGACTGGGATGACGCCAGGTCGGGGTTTTGGGATGTCGACTGGGCAGGTTTGAGTTGGCTGAAGGTGAAGGTCAAAGAAGGGACTCTTGATATACCCGGAATCACTTTCAAGACGCGATGCCCAAGCCCACTGAAGCCTAAAGGGATCTAATATATACGGTATCTGGTCCATTCTTCAGCTGGATTGAGCGTGTAACTGTGTGAAACAGACGAACAGAAACAGGTGCTTTTCATCGAGTTCGTTCCACCGTTGGTCTTCCTTTCGTCAGTCCTTCACGGACCGAGTGGACCGAGTCAGTAGTGTCGGACCGCCATCACATGGCATGGTTCAACCCGTCCGGCCAAGCGGGCCCCCAAAGAGTACGAGGAAACCCCTTGGAAAACGGGGTTTGAATCACAAATGATCACTTTTCGTTTGGCAGTGTACTACCCACACACAGAAAACAGCAGAGGCTATCAGAGGCTATCAGAAAAGGGTACCAGTGATCATTGGTGAATATCCAGGCCACACGAGAATTCTCAAAAAGATGTGGCCCAAGAATGCAATCGAGTGGTTTTTCCAGAAACCCTCCCTACAGGCCCATGCAAAGCCGGCGAGACATCACTGACATGTGTCCAAATGACTGACCAAGAATTCTGACCACAGGAGGGTACCGGCCAGTCGCGACTGACCAATGACTTCAATATGACTTTGAAATCACTGTCTGTTATAGATCCACGCCCTTTTTCATGAGTCACTGGCCTCACTGGCCGTAACCTGTGATCCGAACGCCTAAGACATCCCACTGAGCGCATGAGTCGACCGGCCCTTTCGTCTACGGCCGAGCGCCAGGCCCGAGCGGCCCAAGAGCGCGCCCAGGACGGCGGTGGGAAAGCCGGGAGAAACGGCGAAAGAAATAGATCGGCCAACATGCCTAGAATGAACGGTTAATAACATATTACTAACAGTGTATGATATTGGTTCTGACAATTCAATAAACTCGTGGGGGAGCTTTTGAAGATGGTGGAAGAGTAGTAGGATCTCCATGACTAATCCAAGTTCTATCCTTTCCACCGATTTTGGGAATATTGATGATCTGGCTTGATCAAAGTGTTTGCTCGAGAGATGGGGACGTTCAGCCCGCACCACCTGGAGAACCTTTCATTTCCTATCGCTTGCGCCACTTGCTTGTGAAATATCATTCCGGAAAGCCACCTCCTCAGTGTCGAATTTCCGCTTCCGAACATCGTTTCAGTAAATCCATGTATATATATATATATATCATGTGATTTGTATAGGGAACATTCGCTTGTTCCATACTATATTCCTGCAGTAGGAACACTTCTTGATTCATAAGTTGACTTTGTCATACTGAAGCTGGATGGGTAGTGATTCTGATCCTGCATTTGTGTTACAGGTTGTTCAGTGCATTGTACTTGATCTCTCAGAATGAGTATCCCAATTGTGGTTTCCTGGTCAAAAATCATGTACCACATCAGTATTCCACAAACACACACTTCGATGTATGCCACGGGTCGAAAAAAATAAGATAAACGTTTCTTGGGATGTATATATTTGATCTATGCTTCGCTCAGTCACATCAAGGAGCTTCCATCCGATCACGTGACTCTCTTGTGACCCTCTCCGATGGTCATCGTCCGACCGTTGTCCACGTTCATCGTCCGACCACTAAAAAACTGAGACTCACCATTCGAAAGGTGCCTGCACAGTATGCTTTGTGGTTGAACAGGTGAGCTCACAAGATGAGACAACCAGCTTCAGGTTTTTCGGTCTCCCGCAAAAGGATCGAAGTTGAGCCATCGTGCGGACGTTCAACGGCGCCCGCCGCGCCCCCGATCGATCGTCACAGATGGAAAAAACGCCCCTGGGTTGTATCTTGATTTCGCCCAGCAGGGACATCCATGGGCATCCGGAGAGTTTTGCTCAGGCTGCAGCATGCCACAAGAAACTCTTGGATGCGCGAGATAGAATACCAGTCCGGGAGAAACAGACATCCTGTTGTTGATGAGTGGTTTGAAGAGGACTGGGCTTTATGAAGTAGCTCTGAGGCACGACCCAAAGGATTCATGTATATGTTGGAAAATATATTTAATAAACCAGGACCCTCCAAGGGGTGTCTTTAGCCCCTTAGCTGTTGAGGGGTGTCCATTAACCACCCCTTGGGGGTCCTGGTATATATATATATATACTTTGAATCTGAGTGACCTCTTTTTTTAGGATGGGTGGCTTGAACGGCGGTCCCAACAGAACCCCGTTGGACTGATGCACCCGCTCGATCGTTCTTCTGCCACTTTCTGAACGCCAGGAGGATTCGTGGAACGCCAGGAGGAGGGATGTGGCCAGTCGTTTTGCGCATAGAGAATCTCGGTCGGTGATTTCTCAGGACTGGGGTCTTGACTCCTCTGAAAAACTGTGTGACCCTACATGTTCTTGCTGTAGTATTTCTACACTCCCCAAGATGGTAGTGGATTATGACTATGACTATCAGGTGGCCCTTACAAGCCGCTAGAATTCCCTTGAACCGGTCCACAACTGGACTGCACAGGCTTCTCGACGACAATGCCTGTCCTGGAACTGCGCCTTCCACTCTTGCAGCCAGGTGTTCGTGACAAAGCCTGTCCTTCTTCCACTGCGTTTGCACTGGAACCGTGTATGTCTTGACATGAGGATATGATATGAAAGCGAGGCTCTAAGTATATGTGCACATGTGAAAATCTGCACTCATGCAATTCCTCTGGTTCCAAAAGACGGTAATGGTGGAACACGGTCACATCATGAACATCAGACAGACCTCAACTGGCTGAACCCTCCTCACACTATGTATGGATGAATCTGTATTTTAATAGGGAGACAGTAGACACCCAATCAATGGTTGGTCTATGTTCCTTCTTTCAGAGGGTCTTTCGGAGGTCTCCCTACTTCCATACACGCCCATACGGTCAGATGGCAACACTCTCGCGCACCACTCTCGGTGCAGGATATCCGAACACCGGCCCTGTGATGGAGTCGGAGCGACAGGAGCCACGTGTCAACCGAAGCTGTGCGCAGAAACCGAAGTGGCGTGCTGTTCCACACATATATACTCTTTTTTGCGGCCTTGGGCTTTGGTTGGTTGATTAATAGAGGGGATGTCCTCAAGTGTATATCCTATACGTTATGGTACCAAACCAACCCCTCTGTTCCTAAAAGGACATGTGACATGTCAAGGTCTCTCATTTTGAGACACAGACAAGGGTGTCAGGCGCTTCCTTCAGCGGTCCAGTGGGCCGGTCTTCTTTAACCGGTGACCCGGTGACCTCCGCGCTTCGGTGGAGCGAAGGACCGATGGGTTTTGGACTTGGGTTCGCTTCGACCGCTTTGGTCGAAGGTGATCGATGTTTCAGGAAATACCAGTTGTACACCTCCCTGGCATCATCGTGGTGGAAGTGGAGTGAGTGAGTGAGTGAGTGAGTGAGTGAAAACCACCTGAAAGTGGCAGGTATTCTGATTGAATCCATGGTCATCCGAGTGGAAATCGGTGCCATGCCACTTCCACCATGATGATTTCAGGGAGATGTCTATTCCAGCACCTTCAACGGGGTCACCAATGGAAGCCCCTACGCCACTTAGGGATCTCCATTGGACACCTCTTAAAAGGTCCAGGTTGATGGGTTTAAGACCCACTCGCAAGTGATCCGTCCGCCTCCGGGGACATCGTCGACCAGCAAGGTTTTCATGGTCGACTGATCAGGTTGCTCAGACCACTGGGAGCAAGGAAGCTTCGTGGCACTGTGCTTCGTGGCACTGTGCTGTGGAGGGGGTTGTGCTGTGGACCTTCTCGTGAACAGGAGCGTGGTGCCATCCCACGGGCGTTTTTCGGCTAGTCGCTACAAAGCCGCTTCCGCCACAGCAGCGTGGCTGGCAGCCTTTAAGGCTTATGCAGCCCTCCAAGCAAGCAGAGAGGCCTGAGGCTGAACAGGAGCTAGATACGAGACACTTCAGTCCATCAAGTGGCAATCCCATGCTTTCCTGTCCCTTCTTTCCTAGTGTCAGGAAGCATGAGGCGTGGGCACATACTTCTGTGGCTGTCCCTTTGCATACTTGTTGGAGAAAAATCCATTCACATCAAGAAAGGTGTGCACCTGCGCATGGATTGGATTTGGACGCCTAGCTGTTGTAGACACAAAAGAAACATATTATATGTATTCATATGTGGGATGTCCTTTTTTTAGCTGATCTATGTTGATCTATATTTTTTGTCTCAACACTGATCATAGCGAAGCATCTCAGGAGCTGCCCGCGCAAGCCCGCCTGCCTATCGGGCCGATCGACTCGATGCACGACAGGTGGGCTCGGTGAGAGGGGATGACTCGGGCTCGGTGTTTGCAGCATGGGAGAGGCGTGGGTATTTTCGATGGGTCTGAGCCATTCCGACAGCTGGCTGTTCCAAACGAAGGGAGGGAGCAGGACTTGGGGCTACAGTTTCTGTTTGTGGCTCCAAGCTGGACCCAAGTCTTGCCAACATCGAAGTTTCTTGAGTCTCCCTATGTCACCAAAGGCTTTTCGGGCGAACAGGGACAAGCGCTGATAGGAGGTTGGAAACAGTTTTGATTACAACTTCCCTCTCAGCAAGTGGTTAAGAGTCCAAGTACCTTCTCAATTAAGAGGTATGGGAGCATGTTAGATGCCTCCTCTTTTCTCCGGTGATGTTTCAGAGTGTGCAGCTTCGTCAAAGAGGGGTGACTCATGGTTGATGTTGATGTTCAGTTATTGTTGCTAGGATTTGTAATTATGTGCAATCACGGTGCTATATATGGGGATTCTGATTGTGTACTATCTTGTACCATTGTAAATTTGCACAGATGGTCTTTACATGTCTTTAAAATGTTGACTATTTGGGCGCTGGCCCTGAATTGCTCGCCTGCTGATGCTCAACGCTGCCAGGCCAACCTCTCAGATGGCCGATTGCGTGATGCCGCACACGTGCTTGGGGAATCCTCATGGTTGTCGGACTGCAAAAATTCAATTAAAAATCATGTTCCCCGGAGATCGGTTTCATGGTGTTCATGGCTACGAGATCGATGTGCATTTGTGCATGACTGCTGGATACTGGAGGCACTTTTTTGGTAGATGCGCGATGCGTGAGTTTCGAAGCGTGTCTGGAGCCACGATGGAAACCAAGGAGATGAAAGTCGAAGTGAGCCGCGGCATGCCCCGACGGCGCCCTTCGCACCAGGTCCAAGGTGTGCTCTCGCGGATTAACGAGGCCTGAGATGGGCCTGGGCTTGGCGGGCATGGCAGATGGCATGAGTCCCTAAAGGCCCTGATCCCAGAACAAGACCTGTTTGTGTTCAACGAATTCCTGGATGCAACATGATGCAACACAGACTCCAGGGCAAATCCGTGCGACTGGGAGCAAAAATAGTAAAACTCTGGCATGATGGAGTTGTCCTTTTTGGGGGGGGTTCCCCTCATGATTCTTTTTGCAGTGCCTCGAAGTCGTTTATTGACCCACCAGAGAATTTCGAAGGTGGGCTCTGCAGCCAGGTGTCGCTGGACCCTTGATCTCCCAGCTGGACCAGACATGCCCGGTCGTCACATGCCCGTCTCCGCGGCACTCCGTCCGTCTCGGCGGTGTGAGGCCTTGACGAAGCTCGACCGCTCCTCACAGGACCGAGACTGGCCCTGGCCCAGCGGTCGGTTCGGGTTCGTCCGGTGGTGATGCATCACCCAGAGGTTGAAAGTCTGGGAGATGCTGAAAAGCAGGTGTTCTTTTGTTGCCTAACATCAACCAACGGCACAGGAGGTGGTTTAGCTTCACTTACGTGCATCATATGAAGATATATGAAGATATATCTGAACTATCTAACCCAAACCCCCCAAGACCAACCTCTCAGAAGGCGTGGAGGATTGCGAAAGGGCATGTGATCTAACAGGTGATGCGTCCGTGGTCGCTCCACCCGAAGCCAGGACTTGCCCACGGTCACCGATGGAGGAGACCGTCACCGCTTGCTCAGCAAGACAGTCAGCCAAAGGAAGCGTTTGAATAACCCGTCAATCTGAGGGTGGGAAAAAGCAGAGCTTGGCACGAGACTTGTTGCGGTGACGCGTCGCGAACGCGTACCTTTCGTTCACCCCCTTTCTCTCTCAAGTTGGAAAAGCAGACTGGCGCATTTGGAAAAAATAGCTGGCACACCAGTGAGTTTAAGCATGTTGACTATGAGCTTGTTCAGGCATTGTGGGAGGGCAAGAAAAGGAGCAATCAAAAAGCACGCCATGTAACTTCTTCATACTTTCCTATGTCATTCCCGACGCTTTTCTTGGTTTCGATCCATGTTGAGCTACTGGCAGGCGCCGGTTCGGTCCTCCAATCTCAACGAATTCCACTTCGGATCCTAATCAGTAGACATAACTACGTTGACCTCACATGTGCTTGTTCTGAAAGTTGATGGGCTAGTTTTCCACAGGATAATCAACTGTTGAACATGATTGAACTATTGACCTTATGAATATTGAGTGGACTTGAATTTGTCTCTTCTGCAAATTGCGTAATGGTTCCAAGCACAATAGACAAAGATACTGTTATTGTGCTCATGCTTTATTGGGCATGTTGAGGATATTCTTTGACATTCTTTGACTCACTGATCAATCGAATTTAAGGCCTGCTCACGCATTTGCAGAACCAGCATGGTCACTCTTGTGGCCACTCTCTCAGGAAGTATCTTCTTTGCTGTCCATGCGCCTTGTCCGTATATGCTATATACCTTGCATCTCAACAGCACGCACTCTGCCTGCCATGATTGATGCTGAGATCCATTCCTGTCGAAAAAGCTGGCGAAGATGAGCTCCGGCCCTGGCCCGGCCCGAACAAAGCCACCGACACGGCTGCCACGGCAGAGACCGTCGTCGACCGAACACGGCGGCTAGGACCAGACGTTGACGAAAAGCTCGGTCCAGTTATCATGAGTTGTCCAGATGGGATTGCAATTGGCTGCAAGCAGTGGCTGACATGTGGGCAGAGTTGATGATTGCATCACTATCATCACTGCAAGTTGGCTGATCAAGCCCGACACATGTCAGATGTCCAAATACAGTCAGCTGTCAGCTGCAGGAAAGACACCCTGACCCCATGCATAGACACGTCCTTCTGTTCAAACGTGCACGCTTTGTTTTTTCGGTCGCGTTTTCCCGATCTTCCCTCGGCTCCCACCAAACCGGCGAGTCAGAGAGCTCCTGACCAGGTCTTGTGGTTTGAGTTGACCATGAAGCCGGCTTTCCCTCCTCTGAAAACCCTTTTTGGGCCCCGGAAAAAGAAGCGAAAGCCAGAATCGAGCGATGAAGCATTCAAGACCAGCGCAAGTGTCTAGGCAAGTGTCTATCCTGAGCCCTACAGTGCATGTAATGTAGTTTTTTCATTAATAATCCCACCATCTTGGATGGTAGAACCTTTGCATATGAGGGGTTGTTTATCCAGTCCAGAGATATCCCATGAATTTGTCAGACCAAAGGTTTGTGGAAGATCAATCAGTTTGTCCAGAGCATTGCTGTGACGATCACGGAGAGTCTAGAAAGCCAAAAGGACCAGAAGGCCAAGTCTGCCCCAGCTAGTGATGATGCAAGCTTTGTTAGACCTTGAGGTGCAAGATTCCATGAATGTGTCCTTTGGTTCTTGTGGATGTGTGCTTGAACATGCTTGAACGCTTGAATCAATGCGATCTGTTTTTAATTCCGCCTATATGAAACCAGTCAAAAGAAAAGAGACAGTCTGTCAAAGCCATGAGCACATTCTGGTGAAGGATAGACTGAAGACATCAACCTGCATCAACCATCAATACAGCATCTCAAACCAGAATAGCTTCTATTAACCTGAGGCGTTCACCCAAATCCAACCGCTTCGCTTCGCTTCGACATCGTCTTCTTCTTCGTTCTCGACCTGATTTCACGAGAACGAGAGAACGCCCCGCGAGGAGTGCTGAAGATGGGCAACCTTCGGAACCAAAACGAGGAGGCTCCGGAGACAAAGAGAGACCAGCCGTTCTGATGACCTCAGCCGCTGAATTTCTGGAACTCGGACAGCGTGGTCAATACGAGGACGGTCTTGACTCTCAATGTAGATCGTTTCTCTTTATAAAGCAGGTGACCTGTTCATAAAGCAGGTGACCTGGTGGCTATCAAAGGAAATGGAGAGTTTCTCAGGTTCTTCTTGTCGGGAGCTCTGCTCGTCAAGGATTAGATTGCATGTTTTCGTCCCGAAAACATCGCGTGGTCTGGCTTCAATCGACCTCCAGGGCCCCAAAGGATGTCATCAATGCTTCCCCGGATCTGTTTGGTTTCTACAGACAGCTTTGCCTTGCTGTTGGCATAGTTCAATGAAGCTGAAGATGAATTACCAATGGGACTTGATTTGTTTGGCGAACCGGATGTGTTGTGAGAACTGTCGATCCTGGGCGCAAGCGCGCCCGGTTCGGAAAGCTCAATCCCTCCAATTCCAGGCAGCTATGTGGGCTACGAATGGCTACGAAACTTAATGCATCAGCATGAGAGTAGACGGTAAAGTTCCAGCAAAAGAAAGAACGGTTTGTCCTGAGGAGGACACTTCGCAACACCTGGATTCGGGCTGGGTGTCCATGTTCTGTCAAACCGAGCAAGTGGCACTCTCGTGCCTGCATTCCGGGAGTTGTAGCAGCTGGCTGGTCACACCCGCTTTCTCAAGCGCTCCAACTGTGGCCAACCTGTGGCCGCGCACAGGGCTTTGCAGAGCCCTTGATGTCCAGGCCTTGGACCGGTTTGCGCCAAGTTGCTGGAGCCATGTCTTACCGCGGTTAGCTAGTGATCCCCAATATAGATAAAAACGGTGTCCAATACATGTTTAGTGGGGATCTACTTTTCTATTCATTTGGGGACCACGATAAACCGCAGTGGAACGACACGAACAGCAAGAGAAACGCAGAGCGGGAGATGATCCCGCTAGCGGGGCGGTCGACTTGCGCCCAAAAACAGGCGACGAAGTTGGAACGACAGCGTGACTTTCCAAAGCACCACCAACACCACAGGGCACACTGTGTAAAGTCCTTCTCCAGGGCTGACTGACCATGGGTGAGGGGGTTGTTGACAGCCTATGAACCACACCAACCATCCAACGACTCCAACTAGTGAAACCTCCCAGTACCCATCCAGCTCGCCGACACCGGGACCCTCCGAATGAGTTGAACGAAACACGTCCCAATTCCACCGCTGCGCCGGGCAGCCCGGGTGAACTGCTCAGGTCACACCGAGGCCGCTGTGAGGCCAAATCGCCCGCCTTGGTCACACCTCGTGCCCGGCAGCTTAGGATGACCGCCTGGGCATACGTAAGTCACCTGAGCAACGTTTTTCATTGGCAAGGTTCATGATGGTTTATATGAAAGGGGAACTGTATCACAGCCCGCGAAGTCATTATCAGGTCCTGATCATGTAGGTCATTGGAGTTTGGATCACAGCTGTTGATGAACCTGGAGAACTGAAACAAATTGAGAAAATTAATTTGCAAGATTGAAGGTCAGAAAGCTATTGGTATGTCCGCTAAGCCCTCACTAGCTCTATCTTTCTCAGGAGGAACTCTGGTCAAGCCTTTTGGCTACCGATCTTCATCGGGGTAATGGTTTCTTGGGATGTGTGTCTCCCCAAGTGAAGGAAGGCATTGGACCATCAAAGGAAGCGGAGTGGAGAGCAGCACTTCGCTGACACACCTGATCACGCCGAAAAAAGGTGGGTGCCCCTAAAAAGAGAAAGGCGCCACTTGGATTCTCATCGAAGTTAACAGACAGACAGGTGCCTCATTCCTTTAGAGGTTGGAAGGACATCATGCACCCGGTAGAAAACCAGGGTCCGCGCCATGCACCGGGTCTCGAACCCATCCCGGAAGCTTCGACGCAGCACTTTTCCCAAAAAAAGGGGCGGCCGGAAGAAACAACCAGTCCATGTGAAGTCTGAGAATCATTGAAAATCAGTCCATGTCAGGTTCTTCATGTGCGAGGCGCAAACAGATCTTCCCCAACGCAGGCTCGGGCTGTCCTCCGGTGCTCCGCGCGCTACCCACGGCGCCACCGGCATGCGCCGGTTCTGTGTTCGGTCCGACCCTTCTGGGTTGCTCCAAGTGCATCCGCGGCCTCTGGAGTTCGCGAAGCGGCGACTGCTGGTGGTCTGGCCCCTTCGGTCGAAGAAAGGCTTCGCGGGATCCGCCGTCGGGATCCGCGTCCCAACGCTTGGGTCGGGTGAAGCCCTCCTCAGAGGCCAAGGGCGTCGTGACGAATGAAGCAGCATGGGACTTCAAGCATGGCTTCAAATGGAAGTGTCCGCTGGGAAGAACTAAGCTTGAATCCTGAATCCACAAATTTGTGGAGCATAGATGAGGCAATGTGTATTTTTCAGTCACTTTTGTTTACAACCTTTCCAATGGGTTTGGGGGGGTTGAATCAGAATCAGAGTGGAAGCATTCCAAGACCTTCGGACGATCAAACATGGGTTGAACACCTCAAGGCTGGCCGTGGAAACCACTCCGACGAACACATCACATGGAAATGGACAACCACCTGTTGGTAGAGGAAAATGGCCTTCACTGGGGCCATGCCATCCACTTCCATGTGTTCATCAGAGTGTAGATCCCAATTTCAGAGCTCCGTTTTCTCCGCTGCACTACGCCAGAGGCATTCTCGCACTGGCATGGCCGAGCAAATGGCTGAGAGCCTACGAACTGGCGCTCACGATGCGATCCATGACATGGAAGCGACTGCGTGGGACTTGGCAGTGGACCTGCGACGTGCGCAAGATGCACAGGTGAGAAAAGGAATGAAAAGAATCGAGTGCTATAGGGAGTCCTTAGTAGTCTTTAGGAGAAGCGAGACGCCAAGTTTATGCATTCTTGGGCCCTCTGAGAGACGTACAACGATCATTTGAGTGGATCAAGATGGATCAAGACCATGAGGATGGCCACGTCACACGTCATACATGTCTGGCCTCTTGCACGCACAATGTGCTAAGAGGATGTGTGTTTGCGCCTTGCGCCCGCAGGTCTTTGATTTGCTCTCAGCTGATGGCTTTCTGTTCTGTGCACCCGAGAATTTGGCCACCGTGAGTGGAGAAATGTGCTTTGGCCATGATTTGGCCTAACAAGGAAAATCCATCTCAGAAAGATGGGTTCAGATGTGTTTTATGTTCAAATTCAACCTTTACTTGGGATGCGTTTCCACCACTGAATCATATTTTGTGAGTTGAAGCCAGCTCTGGCTCGCTAAGAAGTTGCTAAGAAGGTCTATTTTCTGCGAGAAAATCATGCTTGGTTCCTTGGTTTGGGATTTTTGGGTTGAACCGATGGTAAATCCATTTGATTTATATATTTATATATATGTTTTTTTTGATTTGGTCCAACTTCCATGAGCACCAAGGCGAAACCAAGGCGGAGGGTTGTTCACCTGGACGGTGAAACATGGGGTGAAGATGGCCCACCGTTGTTCTCCATGGTCCATCCCCCGGATCGAGACAGAGTACGCCTGTAGACCCTCCAGATCGAGTCTCGATCGAGTCCTTCAAAAAAAACTAGTGTTGCGAATGCCTTCAGGAAGGAGTTCTTCGACCGCTGCTACTACGGCGCCCAAGGGCGCCTGAATGGCCGCCCTTATGCCTTGGCCATCAGCGCTGGCAGCGATGGCTTTGGTGCGGCCGCACAGCTGGAGCGCATCTGCCGTGGCTGGCGCTTGAGGCCCGTGGCCGAGCCTGTGGTGATGCGGAGCGGCGCGCAAAGTGCCAGGGATGTGGCACAGGTGCGGGCTGCGCACGTGGGAAAAAGACTTGGCGGTGCGGAAGATGTGGCAGGTAGTAGCAAGATAACAGGGATGAATATGGATGAATGGATCTTGTGAAGATTCGCCAAGCAATCAAGGTCCTTTTGGGAAAGCTTTTAGGTAGTGCAAATGATCACCCCACCCGGCGCCCCAGAACCAGTGACATGCCCAATCTGCTTCCGAGTTTTGGACGTGGAGGAGGAAGTCGGGTGATACTTGGACAGTTGATCGATGGGGATGGGTGGCAGCGTAGGCCCTTGGTTTCACGAGCTTTCATTGGTTCTTTTATATGAAAAAAGGATTTGGTGTTCACCATGTGTTCACCAACCATCCATTCAGGGCGCCCCCCCCTCCACAAGAGTTCAGGGGGTAGGAGCCCTGATCGATAGAGCCCTGATCCACGCGACCGCTCACGCTCACAGCGCGCAAATTGCGCTCGATCTTCCCGACCAGCATGCGACGCCTTCCAAGCATGTGTGTTTTCCCCAAGAGATCCAAAATCCCATTCTGGGAAGATTTGTTCTGATTGTTCCCAGCGGAAGCAACTCCAAGTTGTTGGAGGCCAAAGTCTTGGATGAGCGTGGCCAGCTGCGATGCCGAGAGCTGGGCGCCTTGATCGCAGCCCATTTGCTCTTGGAAACATGAGGATCGTCGCCGGCGACGAGGAGAGCGTGGAGGCGAAGCTGAATCCAGTGGAGCCAAGCGAAAAAGAGGTCGTGGTGAACCAGACACTCCAAGGATGGCCCGGACACTCTGTGGATGGCATAGTTTGCATGGAGAAGTGCGATGGCATGAAGAAATGCTGGGTCGTTGGGCGACAGAAGCAACTACCACGCTATCAGTACAGCCCAGCCGTCTGCAAGGCTCTGAGAAGCGGAGAAGTGGCATGCGACATGTGCCGTCTGGGGAGGGCAAGTGGTGGTGGTCTCTTCCCGGCATGATGCTGGAATCTTCCCGGCGTGCATCCGTCTGAAAAAAGGGACCTGCTTGCCGAAACTGCCTCATGATGATACAATAGAGATTGTGTTTGACTGCTTCTAAGAACTCTGAAGTGTACTATACCTCTCGGAGAATGCTGGGGAACCATCTTCAGAGTCAACTCTTTCCAGTGACAGATTCGTTTGCATGAAAATTGCGGTCACTCATTTGATCTTAATGTTTGCACTGGTGCCCAGAAAGGACAGCAGCAAAACCAGAGACATTGGACGATGAGACATCACACAACTAGAAAGGCCATTTCATCAACAAGTAGTCCAGATGTCATCTCAGAAGTAGTGAAAAATCGAGCCGGCTCGTTGATAGGTGTAAGGCCTGCCCGGCCTGGGCCTAGTTTGGCGCTGTCGCCTTTGTCTCTGAGGCCTTTGTCTCTGCTGCGAAGTGGCCTCGTCGAGATTGGCGCTCCATGGGCGTGCCAGCGCGCTGTCGCCAAATCCGCCTCGATGTCTTCTACTCAAACCGCTCAAAAACTGGAGCCCAAGAGGAGTTGTGCATAGAAATGGTACTTGTAGAATCTGGCAACCTGCATTAACATGTCAACTGAAACACCATTTGCTTCAAGGATCCATATGTCCTGCCGATAGGCAGCTCGTCTGTTCGCATGTTGTGTCGGTGCTCGCGCCAAACTCACCTCCTGCCAGGCCACAAGATCCATCTCGACGGGTGGCCGACAGTTGGGCATAGGCGCGAGGACCGGAAGACCATGAAGATCTCTTTCCTGGGCAATGACTTGCTTTTGTTGTTCTTTGAAGCGATCAGGTTGAATTCATTGGATGAATTGATGAAGAATTCGATTAATGATAAAATGTGATAACAATATATCGGTAGCCCTCAGGGGGATAACTTGAGTTTGTCTTGCGAAGCAAGTGTGGGCTCCTCCGGGTCTAATAATTGATAGTTCAATTCAACCCCCGCCCGCCTGCCCCCGAGAATTGAATTTTCAATCCAACCCCCCCTTGGAATTGATTTTTCAATATAGACATGGATCTTATTTGGAGCGGATCATTTGGTCTGAGAGAACATCGGCAACGCGGACCGTGAGTCAACAAATTCTCGAATCAACGGCTTAGATCTGCATGCGCGCAGCGCATCCACTGCTACTGCTCGGATCTGGATTTGCTGTTGGAGTGCATCGGATATAGATCTGACACCACGTTTTACACCAACCACCGGACCACGTTTTACACCAACCACCGTTAACGCCTCTGCGAGGCTAATACCTTTATACGCACCGCCGTTGACACCAAGCCACAGTTTACACCAACCACCGACTACACCACAACAATTTATTCCAACCACTTACCGTTTACACCAAACCACGGCTTACATCCAACCACCTGTCCCGAAATGGATCCAAGTCATCGGATCAACAAACTTCTTTTGGGGTGCAAACCACTATCGGGTGGCCTTGTTTATCTTTGGCGAGACCGTTTCGACCGTTGTTATTGTTGTGCGCGCCCTGTAATTTTAATGTATATAACATAATATAATATAATATAATATAATATAACAATAAAGAAAAAATGTTCTTTTTTGTAATATTTAGTATATTATTTTATAATCGGCTTGTTTTTTTCTTCTTCGTTTTCGCGTCGTTTTTAATCGCGAATTTCGGTTGGTAATGATATTCGTCGGATTTTGATTGCGAGGATCTAGTGTTAATATTTATTGTAGTTTAATTCCGAGGATTATATGGTAGTATTATTCGCCGGATTTTAATTACGAGGATTGTATGATAACGTAATGGATTAGGGTGATAATAATGATTTTCGTCGGACGTTTATTTTTAATTTTCGTATTGGATCGTAAATAAAATATATTTATAAATGTTAAATATAATTATATATATATAAAATGAAAATATATAGATATAAATTTAAATAAATAAATATAAATATAGAATTATTTATATATAAATAAAAGATAATAAGAGTATTTATATGAAATTTAAAGAATATTTACAAATAAATATGTAATTATATTTTCGTTTAATAAATGTTAATTTGTCCGTGTTGGATCGCGGGAGAGTTACTTAATTGAAAATGTTTTATTTTTTAACGAAAATAGTTATGGTTTTAATTTGTACGAATCGAAATGATTTGGTTTGTAAGATATTGGATTATAATAAATATAATTATAAATTTAATTGGTGGAAAAGGACGTCGTTATAAGGTATAATTTTTAATTATCGGAATTAATTAAAAAAGGTATTCCGGAATGTAAATATTTTGCACGGCAATTGTTTTTGCTAAGTTATATTTAAAATATATGGTCTTTGCAATTACATTATATGGGCACTAAGTTATAATTATTCTATTCGGGATTATGAAAATCGGTAAAATATCCTTAATATGATTCTACATAATAGTATAAGTATTCTTGTAATTAATGGCATGTGTAAACGGATGTATAAGGAGAATAAAGCGCAATATTGATGAGTGATTGCAATTATATATGCTCGGAAGAAAGGTTACAAAGGACTATGGGGGCATGTATCGTGCCTCTATCTTCAGTGGTCATGGGGAATTTGGTTTCCCAATTGCAAGGGTGCATGGAGTCAAAGAGAAATAATTTTGTTCAATGGCTATGTCCCTAAGCCATCCGGCAAATTTCCTAACATTATGTTGTGCCAGGGGTGAGTGAGAGTCAAACCATGCGGCCAATTGAATTTTAAGGAAGTCATTGCTGCATAGATCGATGGCCTTAGAGCCTGCAGTGATGAGCAGACGAGCAATCGAATCAATCCATACCTCCCATCATTCACAAATGAAATTAGCTGTCATGATAAGCGACATCTGAGTTTATACCACATTGTTCAAATAATATATGGCTTTATTGGAATATAGGGCATTCGTCCTCAACTAGTGTATTACTTCCGGAGCTTCTGGGAGATGGCGACGGCGAATACGACCGTTGAAGGATCCTCACCAGTGCTAGCTGAATGATTCCATTCCCCACGAGCTTTTGGATATGGTCGAACAGCTCATTGGTCTCGTCTGACCTGAGCGAGATGTCGAACTTCTACAGAATGGCCATTGTGGCCTCTTGAGGCATGGAGTCCTTCTTCAACGGTCGAAGGGCTGCAAAGCGGTGCACTAGATTGGGGTTTTTGCTCAAGCAATGAATCTTCTGCAAAACCTGACATAATTCTTGCGAGCATATCGGTGTCTGCTTCGTCGGACGCAATGTCTGAGCTTTGGCATCCCATGCCAAGTATTGCCATCGATGATCCTCTGTGAGAATTCCCTTGGTCATCAAGGTGTTCTCGTCGTCTTTTTGCTCGAGTTTGAGCTTCCCCGCACGATTAATCAATTCCTGGATGAAGGTCTGAAACAAGGTCTGGCGAAGAGATTGGTGAACCTCCCCGGCTTGTTTCTGTTGGTTCTATTGTGTGGAGGTTTCGATCATCAGGGGCATCAAGTTGCCGCGTCCACATTGGACAAACAGCAAGAACGATCGATCCAAATTCAATGCATTCATCTGGTCCTCTTGACGCAAGCATAGTCGAGCCACCATCTGGATCAGTTCGTCTGTCTTGCCAGAGCTGGTGGACCTGGTGTCCAAGGAATCCGAGTGTCTGTTGGAGCGCTCCCGGCCATTCTGTGTCCGGCCACCAAATGGTGGCCGTTCGCGGTCTTTTGAGGAAAGATTGCTAGGAGATCCGTGTACGATTGATCGCCCGGCAGCATTTCCAGGTCGTTCGACATTTCGGGGATGCGTCTCAGTCCGAATGCTCCTATCTGTAAAAAGAGCCGAGGCTACGTTGCACAAGACTTTATCTAAGGTGGCAAGTTGAAGCCATGGATTTTCATGCAATGCATATATATACGGTCTCGGAAATATGAGATCACATGAGATCTACGCCCATCGGTCTGGCACATAGTGGACAAGGCCGACGATGAATTGGAGTACCTGGTCGGCGGCGAAATAGGTTTGTGGCAGTTCACAAAGGTGGGCATTCCATTGAATAGATTCCATGTATCATGTCACGTGCTGTTCAGGTCGAAATGGAATAGATGCACGAGGATGCCATACTGTGGCATCCAAATCAAGTCTCTTGTTGTTTCTATAAATACATATATAATGATTTTTTATACTATAATAAATAATTCAAAAATATAATTTGATGATTTGTTACGATTATGTTATTTTTTGATTTAAAATTGAATAGATTAATTCTATTTTCTTTGTGATTAAATATTGATAAATTTATAATATGTTAGTTATATATTTATATTTGATTGTAATTAAATATGAAATTTAGGTATTATGGATTTATTTAAATCGAAATAGGATTGTTTATTTATTTTTAGGAATAAATAAAAGGTATTTGTTGGCGTCGTTTCGTCGCGATGCTATGGCGAAGCATTACGAGGAATGGATATCGTTAGGCTTAGTTTAATTTCGGAATAAATATAGTTATTTAAAGATATTATTTATTAGGGTATATTGGCATGGCTATATATAGGCATCGCCTATTATTTCTTGCAATGTTCCCATTAAACATCTCTGGTCCTAATGATATCGATATGCATTTTAGGCTCATTTTAGGCTCCCTGCTCTATCGTGGCCCTACCGCCTGCAGGCATCGTTCGAGCGCTACAATGGAACGCCTCTAGAGCGTTGCACTACGATAATTAGATTTAATGAGATAATTATTCCCCATATGATATTAGTATTGCCCAAGAAAATGGATGGCGAATGACCAATGAATGGAATACGAAATAGTGGTATATAGTTCATGGAATTGATAGGCATGCTTTAATTTTAGTAATGATAAGAGTTGCATTCGTTCCTAAGGAAGTTATTACGATTGTCTATTATATCCCCGGTTGCGTCTTGCAGATTAGATTGTATTTGTCTCGTCCGTATGATATCCATGTCGTATATCAAGATGCTTGGAATTTAGGAGGGAACCCATCAGCCTTGTTGCAAAAAGGCAAAAGGGTCTGGAGTCTGGAGTTGCCTTCAAGATTGCATAGGCTATATCCCTACTCCTGCTTGGCGGCGACTATAATACATCCCTAGATTATGATGATATTTATGCGTTTACGAAGGACCTCAAATATGCACGTATTGCCCAATCTAATCGAACCTATTTCCAATTGATTATCAGGACAATACAATTTGATTGTTGTGCACACGAAAGCATTCAATTCGATCTTTGTATGTGGGGACCATAATACTAGGATTGATTTCATATTCGTGAGACAGGAACAGGTTTCATGTAGGGCATTGCAACCAAAGCAGCATCCTGATTTCAATTTTTTTGGACCACAAGGCCCTCGTCACATTCCGATGAATTTGATCTTATCCAAATGGTTTCCGATACCCAAATCCAAACCAATTGAGAGCGTCAATCGTTTCCGCATCCGACAGGCTTGGCAGCAAAACGCAGACAAATGGCAATTCTTCCTTTAGAAGATACCATATCAATCCCCGATTGCACGGAGCCTAATTTTCGAGAAGAATCTTCTTTATTAGTTCCAAGAATATTTTCATCTGATCGTCCACAATTCACCAATTTCGATCATTCATGGTCCAAATGTGGCAGGCCAGGAAAACGGCCTTCGCACTCCCGGATAGAGGATTAGCTTCATTGCTTCGAAGCTAATACCAGGTCATCAAATTTAGAAGATTGCATACCCAGATCAAATACTACAGCCGATTCAATCGACGAACTA